CATGCGATTGCATTGTGAAAGAAACGGTGTGGAACCGACCAGAAAAGGTTGATCAGCTAGCATATAAGAATTTGTGTGTATTGCAAGGTTCTGGAATCATCAAAATGATAAGAAATGTGGCCAAGTCTTGGTAAAGTTACAAACACTTGCACAGAAAGATGTATATGGGACTACACGAACACGTGGCGTAAAAAGCCGGCCCCCGATTGTTACGATGTTACATGTATATTTAGAATATGAAGGCATTTGAAGAGCCAAGCTTTTCAGGGAACATGTCTTAACTGATGTTCTTCCACACTTGCATAATAAGAATGAGTAATGCTCACAAATTATTTTTCACCTCTTCCCAGATTCCAACCTTCTCTTTATTAAGCGTGAACACATACCACACAAAAAAGATACCAAATGATTTGGGATATAACACTCTTTCATAAGATGTATAATAATTTACTGTCCATAGATGATCTTTAAAATAATTAGCCATTTTCTAGGTGTAAACTTTTTTTTGACTCACACGGTTTAGAGCTAAGGTGCTGTGGTCTAGTGGATAAATCACAAGCTACAGGGTTCAGGATCGACAAGTGGACATGAATTTTCCTCGCCCTTCCCTCTTTGGTTTTCTGCACTTTTCCTCGTAAAGTTGGAATAAGTTTGTCCTTCGCCTTTTCATGAAATGGTTCCGCCAATATGGTTTGTATAAAGTTAATATCTTCTCCGAACTTTATTGATCAATCTAAAAAGGTAAAAGATTGATCTATAAGGTTATGAGAAGTCACAAACTTATAAATCATATTGTCGGAGGTTTATTCAGGATGAGAGGTAAGAACATGTATTCCAACTTCATATGCAACTGTATATTTTAAATACTACGGATAAAAATAAAACGTACCAAAAAATTATTCTTGCTGGCTGTATGTCGTGCAAACAATATAGAGTGATTGATTTAAAAAATGAAACGGATTTCATATTTTCTTTGTTTGTCATGAGAATTTATAGTATCACGTGGCACTTATTGATGTATTTTCTTTTAACGTTCTGTTGCATGCATCACATCTACAAAAGGTATTAAAAATGGTATTAAAAATGGTACCCTGCATGTCTGCAAATGATGAATTTGATTTTAAAAGTACAGGTACACTCATATCCTTGGCCTTGGCCTTGGCGGGGGAGACACGAGGATCTGGCGCGGGCGGGTGGGTTCGCGCGTCTCTGGTTTCTCTGGGAGCGGACATGTGCAGATTTTGATGCACGTTGTTGATGGTCCATTATTGGATTTATACTGGGAATCTCGCTCAACAAACCTAGCTTTTCTGAGGTTCCCTTTTTCCCCTCTCATATTTTGTTTTATTCTCAAACTTGAATGTACTCTGTAAACTTATTTGATTACGAACATACTTGTCAGTATTTCGTTACTTGTATAATTCATTTGTTCTATTATATTGTATTATTGTATGGTTTATATATGTCATTTAATTTGTGGATATTTTGAGTGAAAAATAAATCAAATCAAATCCACACAAAAAATAAAAAAATGATGAAACTTGTAAAACAATCTTCCAACTTGAATTTGTAGATATTTATGTCTTCAACCATATTCAATAACTGTCATTAGAAATTGCCGTCATTACTATTTCGTCTCGTCATTTAGACTTTAATAGACGGTGGCTGCGACCTTGTGTAAAATAAACTAATATAGATGGAGACTATGTAGTTTGATTATTGGATAAATAAACGCACTATTAACAAAGAGTTAAATATTAGGGTTCGAACCCCTGCCACAGCGCGAATGTCCTTCGGCAAAACATCAATCTACATTTGCCATCCTTCACCCAGGTGAAATAAATGGGTACCCGGTAGGAAGAGATAGATTGCTTCAATGCTTATCATGGCCGCAGGGCTAAAAGCCGGTGTTATAATGTGATCGAGAGTAGTATACATATGTGAAGCCAAGCTCCGACAATATGAGTTGGACAATACATGGGTATGTGGAAATACCCGTACCATTAAGCAGCATATAATCATAATAATAATGATAATAATAATAATAATAATAATAATAATAATAATAATCTTTTATAGTCCATATTTTGTAATCTTTTATTAAGTTAGACCGAAAATGGAAATTCTTTTTGCCCAATTGATCGTGAGCCCGGCAGCCACTGAGCAGCGCCAGATCGACATTGCTCTATCCCTTATTGTTGAACGCCAAACAAGGTCTTTTAACGTCTTTTGATATGACGCGGCCGGGGTTCGAACCCTCGACCTCCCGGTTGTAAGGCGGACGCTCTACTGACTTAGCCAACACACAAGTACATGGACAGGGGCAGGGGCGGTGATCCTGGGCCCGATAGGGGGACACGTCGCCCTGGAAATTTAAAAATACAGCTAGAAAGACATATAGCGGAAAGAATTATTGGGCTTAGGGATTTTCTAGAATGCATAATTTCAGCATTCAACATTGCAAAATCTCGCTTGGTCGCTACGCCCCGGCCCTCGCCCGATAACACAAAACTATGATATGATATGATATGATATGACGCTCCCGGCCGTGATTTATCCATGGTTGGTGTAATAGATCTTTTTTTCTCTTTCGTTTCTACTAACCTAATTGTGTGCTATCACAATCATGATTGCTTCATGCTCCCTTTAAAGCAGGCGTGTAGCCAAGGGCGGTAGGGGCAGTAAGAGGACATATAACAAAACAGGAGCAGACAAAGAAATATTTTTGAAAATTCTGACAAGTCGAAAACGGTACAACGAATCGTCTTCTTTCTCTATTAATTTAATGACACGTTAAAGGTAAAGACCAGTATTGGAAACGCCCCAATTTCAAAAAATGAAATGGAAGCTCTCATTACCAATCATGTGAAAGAATATGTTTTGACTAATACAATGATGATAAAAAATTTGCCGGGAAACCGCCTACTAATTCATATATTTGGTAAATTTGTTTCTCTCATGGTCTGTGAGAGATATAGGGTAGTCCCATATACATCTTTCTGTGTATAGTGCTTGTAACTTTACGAAGAATGGGCCAAATTTCTTATCATTTTGATGATTCCAGAACCTTGCAGATGCGAGATGCTAAATGATCAACCTTTTCTGATCGATTCCACAACGTTTCTTTCACAATGCAATCGCATGACCAGGCGCGGATCCAGGATTTCTTAGGGGAGGGGGCCCAACTTTTTTTTTTTTTTGCTCCCGAAAATTTGAAAATCGCGCCGGCCGAAAAGTCGCTCAGTGGGGGGGGGGGGGGGGGGGGGGGGGGGGGGGGGGGGGCACAATTTTTTTTTTTTTTTTTTTTTTGCTCCCGAAAATTGAAAAACGCGCCGGCCAAAAATTCGCTCAGTGGGGGGGGGGGGGGGGGGGGGGGGGGGGGGGGGGGGGGGGGGGGTAGTGAGCACATTTTATTTTTTTTGATCCTCAAAAAAAAATTCATTTTGCACCCCCCCCTTCCAAAAAGGTAAAAAAACGTGTTTTTTTTCTCAAGGGGGGGGGGGGGCCCGGGCCCCCGGCCCCCCCTGGATCCGCCACTGCGCATGACCATAACTGGTCTTTTCCTTTAAGCTTCCGCGCTTAGCGCGGGAGGGGGGAGGGGGACTGAATTCAGTGAAGGATTAAAGGCAGGCTTTACTACTTCAGCCAGAAGGGTTAGACCACCAAGCGAGCCAGCAAGGTCACTGTGACAGGTGGCTATCTCATTAACTCAGCTCTCATTTAACGTAAGAAAAAGAGGGGACCAACAGACCACCGATTGGGGAAGTTTTCTATATAGAGGGAGCAGGTAGCTACAAGTAGGACAGTCGAGAATGGAACAACAATCATCTTCTTCCTCTAACAATATCATTAAAACTATGGAAAGTTAAAGCTTCGCGCGGGGGGGGGGGGGGGGAGGAACTGAATTCAGACAAGGATCTAGATTCGAGAATGGTACAACGAATCCTCTCCTTTCTCTAATAATTTAATGAAACGTCAAAGCTGCCGCGCTTCGCGCGGGAAGGGGAAAGACTGAATTCAAACAAGGATTAAGAGTCGAAAATGGTACAACGAATGGTCTTCTTTCTCTCATAATTTAATAAAGCGTCCGAAAATTACGCGCTACGCGCGGGCGGGGGGGAAAACTGAATTCAGACAAGGATTATTTTAGAGTCGAGAATATAACAACGAATCATCTTCTTTCTCTAATAATTTAATGAAACTTTTGTCATGAAAGAGGCTTTAGCCCCCCCCCCCCCGATGAAAATGTCAAAAATTGTACCTGTATGGTGCTTCTGATATGACCTTGTCAGTATTGATATGTTGAGTTGTAAAAATGGTCTGCACACTTTCCAAAATTCCGGCCCCCCCTATTGGAAAATCCTGGATCCGCGCCTGCAATTATACATGTATACAAAGTGGATTTTATGCTCTGTTGCCCAATGTTCAATGATGAAATAAATTTGTGATGAGAATTGATTTGAGCAGGCGCGTACGCAGGGGGGGGGGGGGGGGTTTAACCCCCCCCTTTGGTAATTTTATGTATGTAACCCCCCCCCCCCCCCAAAAAAAAAAAAAAAAAAAAAAAGCAAAAAAAAAAAAAAAAAAAAAAAAAAAAAAATTATGCCCACGGCCGACCTAAAAAAGGTGACCTTACCCCCCCCCCCCCCCCAACTGAGCAAAATGTCAAATTTCCAAATTTCGAGACCAAAAAAAAGAGTCCTCCCCCCCCCTCCCCCCCTTATTCAGCGGTCGGCTGAGTCGTTGCGATTTTTGGGGGACCAAAAAAAAAAAAAAGTGACCTCTTACCCCCCCCCCCCCCCCCCCCCCCCCCCCCCCCCCCCCCCCCCCCACCCCCCTTGAAAAAATCCTGCGTACGCGCCTGGATTTGAGATACTAGGCCAATTTGATATTTGTAACAAATTCACAATCAAGATCTTTGATTTCGTAACAAATTCACAATCAAGATCTTTGATTTCGTAACAAATTCACAATCAAGATCTTTGATTTCGTAACAAATTCACGTTCGCGTTCCATAGAACAGGGTAGTGTGGGTGATGTAAGCGAACTTTCTGACCGAGACCGCGACAGTCGTTCTTCCTTTTGCATGTTTTTCGGTAAATTAGACTGTTCTATTAAGTATTATTACCGAGCCCGTTCAGATGTAAGGAAGTGATCTTAAAAGAAAAGGTATGCAATTAATAGGGTGCCTTTCGTGGCACTGATCACCAAACACAGTCACAGTGTCAGTTCAGCGCTAATTAGCTCGCCTTGAGTTGAGCAGGGACCTGGGAGTCACAGGTGAGCCACTGTCCCTGAACCTCTGGCGTGGTGATCGTCGCCTTCGCGCGCTCCAGCTTCACGGTGGATTCACCTGACGTACCGGTACACATGCATAGGCTCACTTCTTAAAATTTTCAATCTTCATCCCTCCCCCACCCCCTCCTCAGTTTTCCCAGGTTTGTTGCTGTGTATGTTTTTTTTACTGATTGAACATGCCCTAAAGCCATACATATTATGTCTAGAGTTAGACTGTGTTAGTTCGCCATTTGAAGAATTAACTCCAACAAAAATATTATTTGTACTTTGTAGGCCTACAAGGAAGTAGCCTAGATATAGTGTACTCTAGACCGTCTTTGTTCGTTCGTTAGCCTCTTATGGGGTAGGGTCGGCTCTCTCAATAAGACCCCAATAAGAGGCTAACGAACGAAAGAGACAGAAAATTCGGCCTAAGTCTACTCTAGACTAGACCTACAATATGTATTTTATTCAGTGATATTGCAGGACAGGAAAAGGGTCTACATCTTACAGTGCCATAATCATAAACTTTTTTTATTGTGGGAAACAATGGAATGAGAAGACAAGACATATCGATCTCTTGTCATTAGCCTTCCTTACCTTTACAAGTTTACCTTTACCCTAGATTCTGGAAGAATGCTGTTCTCAGCAGTCGGGCTTCAAGTTCAATTTCATTTTCTTCCTTCTTGTAGTTGGGTGCAGGGCTGGTTGGGTGTCTTCATCTTGGTAATTTTGTCTGGCTCAGTTCTGTGTCGGATATTCTCCTCATATGGGAAGCAGAAACGCTTGACTGAATTCAAAGCGTAATATGGAGCAAAGGAACAGAAACTGAGTCTGATACTAATTTGTGTGAGTAGGTCTAATTTACCTGTGTCATAATGATTACATTTTATTCTTTATTATGATTTCTTTAGGACCAGAATGGCAAATCTATCTTCTACTCGAAGTCAAAGCAAGTCTGTGAAGACTTCTGCCAGAGAGACTTCTTGTTGGGGGGAAATTCTTGAGAGCTTAAAGGAGTTTTCTGAAAAGAAAGAAAGGTTGGTGATTGACAAACAGTAAACCAGTTTAAGTCATCAGTTTATTTTTCATATCAACACCCACTGATCTATCAAGAATTGCTCACTTCGTTTTGTTATCTGTCTCCTCTGACTATCCTCTTTCAGTGAACCCCATAGCTTAAAACCTCTTTTGTATTTTTGTCTCTCTTTATTTTTACCTTCACATAATGTACCTGTATATTTGTCATTGTATACTTCTTTCTTATAAATGTATAATTTTGTTGTGACATGATCTCTATTATTCTTAAACCAATGGAAAAAGAATTTATATTATAATGACAGATGAATCAATAAATTCAAATTCAATATGTAGGCTTTAAATATTTGTTACAACCTTAATTTTTCCTGTGCTTTGGTACTTAATCTTAGTAGAATGCTTCTGATTATATTATGAACAAAATAGAAAGAAAAAGTATGATCTCGGTTAATTCAGCTAAAGCAGAGTATGTAAATCACTTGACAAAATTTGATCAATAATGAACAATTGATTTATATAATTACCAGCAGCTCTTATATAAAACTAATGACAAACACAGTACATCTGTGTATGTTTTTCCTCTAGCCATAATCTCCCTTTGGCTTTTCAATTCATTTTACAGATTTTTAGTAGAAAGTTAGCTGCAGTTGACTTGAAAGAAAACCATATGTTTGATTTACAATTACAAGGTCCAAAAGCTCAATGGGCATAACTATTTAAATTCTAGTTTTTACAAAAGCATTACTAAATTCTTCTAGTCCTAGATAAGCTTCTTCAAAAAGGCTTATTTTTAACTTTTTTTTAATGGAAGTTTAGATGAAAATTAGATGATGTATAATTATGTATTAATGTATTTTGTTTGTCTTTTGTATTTAAGAAATGATGAAAATACAAAACAGTGGCAAATGCTTGCAGATAGCATCGCTGCAAGAATCCAACAAGCTGTGAAAGGAAGCATCCCTGCAAATATTGCCTCAAGGAAAAGCTCTGCAAGTTATAGACCCAGTCAGGCCATTCTAGAGGATGTGGTGTCAAGATTCACCTGGGTCTTTTTTGAGACAGCTGTTGAGGTCAAGCTGGTCCGAAAATTTCACAAGGTCAGAGGTCAAAATTTGATTGTAGTGGCAGTCAATGTGATTTGATTTTGATTTATTAGATTGATACCAAGTAGCCAGTTTCTCAATGTTTCTCAAATGGATTATTGTTTAATAAATGGAATGGGTTTCAATTCTCTCAAGGATAATAGGTTTTTTGAGTGGGCTAACTTATCCCTGGAAAGATATTGATAGTGAGTGATTAATCTACCTACTCTACTCTTGTCGGTATGCAACAGCCTCAGTGCTAATGCCAAAGCATAAGAGATTTCAGGGGGAAAAAGATATCTACTGTAAATTCTCCCTAACAAAGGTACCTTCCATATGCGTATGGCTAGTTTCAGCCTACCAAATTGCTTTACTCCTCCAAAACCACCTCTCTTAGACACTTCTATACCATATTTTACTCCATTAGGATCATGGGTAAACAAGACTACATACATGGAGGAAAGAACAGCTATTCCAGCTGGAAGTGGGTTACAGCTTCAGAGCTAGTGACCTAATAAGTAGCAACATGGGAGATATGAATGCCCAATACGTTTTTCAGCATCATTCACCGGAATATACATTTTCATTATGATGAACAATGAATTAAATATCAATTAGACAGTGCATTTGAAAGGAAAGTATATGAATTGTAATGAGCATGCTAAAAACAGAGTACCAGTACATACAAGTTTGAATACTCAAGTTGTGTTCTGCTCAGAAAATATCAACAATATTATACTGTAAGAAGTGTCAGGCTGTCAGTAATATATTAAAACGTATCATCACTTAAAAATAAGAATACTTTTTTCTTCTTTTTTTCTTCAGTCATCACAATTTTAGTGGGACATGCAAAGAAAATTTTGTATACTAAGGGAGTAAATTAATAATACTCTCTCCCTCGATTTTGACATTGTTCCCTTTTAAATGCTGTATTACAGGCTGCTCTAGCTTTGTCTGAGCTTTATCCTAAGATGGCTGACATCATTGACAGTCAATTTGTGGTTCTTCTGTCGGAGAATGGTGGTTTGATGAACAACATTCAGGCATCCAGAGGTAAACTGATCAATGTTCTCATAACTTTGATATCATTCTATTTTTCAATTGTTTTCTTATAAATCTGATGTGTAACTGGAAATATTGTTTTATATCTTATGTGTAGAGTACAATAGCATTTCTACATATTGACCAGTGAGCAGTTTTTGCCCAAAACCACATACTACTCCCTCTTAATGAATACTGTTTGTCCACTGACAAGGAGAAACTATAATATTTTGTTGATATGTAGTTTCTTCCATAAAGAAACAAATGAAAACAAAATAGAAATGGTATATATAAAAGGGTATTCTTTAACAAAATTTTGGAGAGGTAATTGATGTAAATTTTACATGTTTTCCTCACATTCAGTTTCCAACCTTCTAGAAGCGAGCCCTTTGGTACATAGCCCGCTTGCCACACATTTTCCACAATTCCTCACTGCCATGAACCGCACAATGACCTCAATAGTAGCAGAGGTTTCAACGACCCTCCCCGGAATTGCTCTTCGCCCCGAGGTCACAGCATGCTGCTCGACACTGTCCAGACTAGCCTTACAGATGAGTCAACTTGTCCCTCTGCAACTCGGGGAGATTCTCGATGGCGCCCAGGGCAGTAGGGGTAGTGAAGGCAGTGTTAAAAGTAGACACCATGCAGATTTAGTATCCCAGCTTTCAGGTCTGGTTGGGAATCTTGTCATCGTGATGTGTAGTAAGGTAAGTCACACAGGTCTTCAAACAGATATATTATAATCAGCAAGTTTAAAGCTAAGTCTCTCTAATTATTTTTATGCCTCCGCCACCGAAGGTGGTGCCGGAGGCATCATGTTTTCGGGTTGTCCGTCCGTACGTCCGTACGTCCGTCCCGTTTGACCGTTATCACAATATCTCAAGAACCGTTTAAGATTTAAACTTAAGACTCGGGAATAGTATTTATCACCATAGGAAGACGATCTGATTAGATTTTGGAGTACGTAGGTCAAAGGTCACAGGTCACAGAGGTCAACTTATGAAATTCCTTGTATTGAGTTTGTTAGCGCGATATCTCAAGAACCATTTGAGATTTAAACTTCAAACTTAAGGATAGTATGTATCACCATAGGAAGACGATCTGATTAGATTTTGGAGCACGTATGTCAAAGGTCAAGGGTCACAGAGGTCAACTTATGAAATTCCATACATTGAGATTGTTATCATGATATCTCAAGAACCACTGGAGATTTAAACTTCAAACTTAGTGATAGTGTGTATCACTATAGGAAAACAATCTGATTACATTTTGGAGCACGTAGGTCAAAGGTCAAGGGTCATAGAGGTCAACTTATGAAATTCCATACATTGAGATTGTTATCATGATATCTCAAGAACCACTGTAGATGTAAAAACTTCAAACTTAAGGATAGTATGTATCACCATAGGAAGACGATCTGATTAGATTTTGGAGCACGTAGGTCAAAGGTCAAGGGTCACAGAGGTCAACTTATGAAATTCCATACATTGAGATTGTTATTATAATATCTCAAGAACCACTGGAGATTTAAACTTCAAACTTAATGATAGTGTGTATCACCATAGGAAGACAATCTGATTAGATTTTGGAGCACGTAGGTCAAAGGTCAAGGGTCACAGAGGTCAACTTATGAAATTCCATACATTGAGATCGTTATCGCGATATCTCAAGAACCACTGGAGAATTTTCACTTCAAACTTAATGATAGTATGTATCACCATATCATAATATCTCAAGAACCACTGGAGATTTAAACTTCAAACTTAATGATAGTGTGTATCACCATAGGAAGACAATCTGATTAGATTTTGGAGCACGTAGGTCAAAGGTCAAGGGTCACAGAGGTCAACTTATGAAATTCCATACATTGAGATTGTTATCATGATATCTCAAGAACCACTGGAGATTTAAACTCCAAACTTGTTTAAATTGCTCTATGGCGGAGGCATCATTTTCGACTGCGCGCAGTCAAAATTCCATCTAGTTACTTTCAGTTATAGTACAGAGGTAATGAGTTTATCCTTTTAATCCATGGAGTGGATGTACGTACTCATGCATTTGTGTATCATTTTTCTTTTGACAGTGCAATATATTGAAGTATTTTGAGTCCAAAATACAAAGTTGAATAGAGGAAAATATACTTACTTCTTGAGAGAAGAAAGTTTCTGGTTAAAATTGACATTTTTGTTATCCTTAATTTCATTTTGTCTTAGGAGAATTCAGACAAAGTTAGTTGTTCTGGAAATCCAGCAGAGTGTATTCATATTTTCAAAATTATAATTAAATGTTTTTTTTTTTTTTTTTTATGGTATGAAAGTAAAATTCTTGATGTTAGGGTGGTGAAGTCAACTCTTCCATCACAAGACTATATTTACATGCACACATAAACACACGCACGCACATGCACCATGACAGGCTATTTTGAAGGCAATGGAGGGTTGGTTTCTTTAGCTTCATTTGGTATTACTTTCTTTTCTTTGTTGTACCCAGAAATTTTCCAGAGAGAGTGGTTTAATGTCTGGCAGTGCTGTTGGAATGCTCTTCAACTCTGCACCGAATCCTAAAGATGCCGTTTCCATGGCATTAAATCTCCTTCATTCCTTCCACCAAGGTGAGGTATAAATTGATATCTGTACTTTTTAATCTTTTATGTATCGTTGATGTCCCATTCCAATCTTAGGAGAGGAGGGAGTTGAAACAGCAATGTCCACAGTGAATATTTGCAGCAAAAGGGAAACTGTTTTACATGTAAAAACATTGCAAATGGGAGTGAGAAAGAAATAAACATCTACAAAATATCATTAGGTATAGGAATATGAAGTGCGCTATGCTCTGGTCATTTTATTTTGCTGAAGCGCTTTTGTTTTTTTATCGTGAGCATCAGACAAATGAATTTCACATTAGACACTTGACCTTTATTTGACCCCTGACCTTTATTTGAAATACAGGAAGTGCACAGACAATCACAGACTTCAACTCAGATCTAGGCTTCTTCAACAGACTTGTAGGACCCCCTTTCCAGGACTTTAGTCCCCCAGAGAAGGCTTTTGGAGCTCTTTGTCTTGCCCGGGGGCTGATAACATGTGGAGATGTCAGAATACTTCTGGAGAGAATACCAACAGGGAGTGGTGATAATGAAGTGAGTGGGCATCATAATGCTTTGCTTTCTCTTTCTGATGATGATGTAAGAGGGTCTTATAATAATGATAATGTTGATTGATTTAGAATGAAGAAGAGCATGATTTCTTCTTATGATTTCGAATTAATCAGTTCAAGGATTTAGTTGTACTTTGTTATCGTTAAACTTCAAAGGAAATGATATTTTATATTTATTCCTTTATAAAACGATCATATTTCAAATTTTGTCAACGATTAAAAGTGATTTAGCCATTTGTTTCCTATCATAATTACAGACTTAAGTTTGCCGGAATTGGATAAATTCATAATGATCTTACTTAAAAATAAGTTAAGTTAATAGAATGTTTATCCATACTATCCCCAGAAAGAATACTGTCACTTGAAACCTATTGCCACGGTCATTTCCCAGCACCTGCCACCCTTAACCCCTCCCTATTCTGCTGTAAAACCATTTTATGAAATTAACACCATTAACAAAAAATTATAGATATTTTAGATTTTCCATCAATTATTTCCTTAGATTTATCATAAAGCGGCAGGTAGTGTATATGAAGAAAGTGAATGCCATTGTTGGCAAAGAGAAATTATTCACACACTGTATGTAACTTTATCACATCACCCCGTTTAAAACTATGCATTGTATGCTATTTTATAGGAGTGTCCCATGTTCTTATTTCTGTTCAGTGGATCTGTTGGTATAGACGACAGAGTGTTTTTTCATTTAATTGAAATTGAAAATTCAATGAAAAATGCTGACTTATACTGCTGTGAATAGTTGTTTAATAAAAAAAATAAATTAAGAAGTTGCTCTGGCTGTTCTTCAAAGTCACTAATGCTTACATAATTTATCTGATTAAGTCTCTTCTCCATATTATTTTGACCTCGAAGGGTCACATCTTCTTAGTTGGACCTCTCTTGACTGTTACTCAAGAACTCCTGGGCAGCACAGACACTCCTGAATTTCACTCCATTCAATGTAAGTCAGAGACCACTTCTAGAAATGATGACTGCACTGTCAATCCTGATTATGGCTCAATATTCCGTTTACTAGGATATACAAAAAAGGTTGTCCTTGACAACCTGACATTTTGCTAGAGGCTTACCTGACAAAGCAACAAGTAATGTATGCAGACTGGATTTCAAGTATTGTAGTTCATTCATTAATTACATGTCAATGGATAACTCTTCGCTAGGACCCCAGGAGAGAAACATCCATGAATTGGAATATGTGAGTAAACTGGACTATTCTGTCAAGATCCACCCAACTCCCTTGGGCAATAGGTTAAAGGCATCGTTTAACAATGTTAAATCTGAGATGCACGGCCCTACATGTTATCAGTGTCTGTGATATGGTGTAATATTGAAGCCCTAAAAAAATAATCGCGCTTCAAAATGATCAAGAAGTGCCTCAAAAAGGTACAAATTTTTGAGTGACCGGTTTTACCATACTTGTTTTCCCTAATAGATTGTAATGTTATGAAAACCGTCAGTCAAACACAAAATTTGGTTTCGATTTCCAATCATAAATATACTGAAAATCAGACAAGCGATCGGCTTGTAAAAGTCATGGGGTTCCTGACTGACCTAAAGGTTTATAATTATCATTGGAGCATGAGCTAAATCCAGGATTTTGTTTCAGAATCTGAGACAAAGTTACTGTATCACTTTAAAAGGGTAGCAGTATAGAATATGTGTTCAAAAGCATGAAAAAAGTCATATGATTAGACATAGTATTTTGAAGATAGTGTAAATGTATATCAAGAATATACATGAAAATATGGGCATTTAAATAGATCCCAAAATATATGGATACAATTTGATTTGAAGTGGATTTAAGTAGCTCATGGTTTTTACTGAATGCTCCAAGTCTTACAGCTCTTCATTATTGAAATGCATGACAGTTACCCTTTTTTTTACCATGCCTTATCTAAGGGAAAGATCTGTGAGTGCATGAATAGATGAATGCAATGTCATTTATAATATGCTTCGGTCAAATGTTCCTATAGAAGGCCAGTTTGTCTTGTAGCTAGACTCCTTTCATGTTTCCTTTATAAATTGAAACTGCATATAAAGACCACCTGGCTGAAAACACCACTTTTCTTTCTATCTCCTTTTTAAATCCTGCAGTATTCACTCTATGGCTTCAGTGTGTCCATCGTCACCTTGAGCATCTGCGGTCACTCCTCAACAACAATGCCCAACGGTTCCTGACGAGGTCTTCAGATGTGGTCCAGCTGGTGCTGAGCTGCATCTGGAGACACTGGCACAGTCCTGTTGATGGAGTGCCGGAACAGATCAGGGTGTTGTTCGGTTCTCTGCTGGAATCTTACGGAGCAGAGAATTGCCTCCTGAATTCTAAAGATGATGAGGTAGGTGCTCCAGTATATGCCCCAGTGACAGTTGCTCTGGACAGTATTTTTTTGTCAAAGATAGGTGATCCCACATATACTCCGGTTACAGTGGCTCCTAGCTTTATTTTTATTCATTGTAGGGTTAGGATTAATATTGCAGTTTGGTTTTAGGTCAGATTAGGATTAGGATTGGCATGGGGTTTATTACCTGCAGGAAGAAATTCCTTGAAAGATCCAGCGTTGAAGTTAGGGTAGGATATTGACTGCAGAGCAGTTTTCACCAGAGTATGTGTCTTAGAACCGGTATGCGAGATGGAGACAGACAGCGTCACTCTTGTAATGTGTGGTTGTAATTTATAACTTTTTCTTGTATTTATCTGCCAACCTGCCATGTTCTTTATATTTTGAGGAGATGGTGAATTATGAATGTAACAAGAGGATAAATCCCATGGTTCAAACTTCAACTCTCATAATGTTATACATTGTAGATCCAACTTCAAGACTTTAAGTTCAATGTTTCCTCCATTTTCTAGCTGTTGAGATACTTGGCCCAGGAGCTTCTGGGATCACCTGTTCATCTGAAGGGTCGCTACACCCTCTTGACGACCCTGATCCCCCACCTGGGGGCAAAAGCTGTCCTCCTCCTCCACCCAGGTCTCCCGAGTGAGCTCCTCTCCTGCCTGGATACAAACCATATCCTGTCTGTGGCCAATGACACTTACAAGATCCTATTAGCAGGGCTCAAGTCAGAACTGGCCCTGACCCCTGCCAGGGTCAAAGATGCGATGCAGGAAGAAGAAGTCCAGGAGACTCCACTAGGGACTTGGCAGGAGCACTTTGAAAAAGTTATTGTAACTGGTCTCTGTAGTGATAACTCGTGAGTGAAAACTATGTGAATTCAACTCTAATTTGGTCAAATTTGTTTTGTTTTCTTGCTTGTATTCACTCTTCAAAATAAAAGATGTTGACAATATTTGTGTTGTCATGTCAATCTTCCTAAGTGGATATTACTGTATCATCTCAGTTCCAACTATATCTCTGGTGGTCATTGCAAAAGAAAATGAACTTTTACTGATCTGTGTGGATTCAATAATTATTAACTGGTATTATTTATTTATAGAAGTTTACCTGCATTCATATATTTCTGAATATCATTCATGTAACTTGTCTAATGTTCGATGTGTGACAAAGCCCTGACTATGATAGTGATATTTGCTATAAGTATGAAAAGTATTATTTGAGGTAAATGGGTACCTTGCAGGAATTAATTCCTTGAAATGCTAGAGCGCTGTAATGGCAGCTAGGCTAAAGCTGGGGTAATAATAAATGCGCCTCGGAATAGAATTTCCAGATAGACGGCGCTATAGAAATGCCTATAATTATTATTATTTCTAGTACCGGTACATATTCTACTTCATATGATTCTATGTTGCCAGTAAAGATGTAACGGTACATGTGTATATTAATGATGAATAATTTTCATGCAATCAGACTACAATCACTGCATCCAATTTTTTCAACAGACTTGTCAGGAGCCAAATTGCCAATACCTGGTTGCCAGCCACCTTCAAAATGTTTCCTGAAACATTCCCCTTGTTGCTGGATGTGAAGGTAATAATGAGAGCTGGTCACAAACAAGAGGCGAGAAACCTCCATAGAAAGATCATCCTACTGAAGCAAGCTAAAACATGCAAGATTCTTCAAGGACAGGAGTGGATGGTAAGAATAGAAAACTGTATGCAATGACATGTAATATTTTGAAAAGTCATGTGATATATTTACATGTAATTATACGTAAAGTATTTGTAAAATGTTAAATAAAAGATGATTTTCTTATATTGAACAGAAATTAGAGGTGGACTTTTCTATCACTGAAGAAAAGTCTTTTTACCATTTTTACATTGTGTAAGAGTACTGGGTACGTCATATTCAAATTACAAAGGACTTATTTGTACATTGTATTGAATGTCGAGGATTATTGATAGACTGTAGGTGTTGAAGATTCTATTGAATTTTATGAATTACTAGTTTTATTTTCAATTTTACTCAGCACAATTTGTCATTGAATACTCATACAATTAATATGATTCTGATTTGTTTGTTCATCTCTTTCAACAGCACCATCACTCTGCTACCTTGGAAGAAGCTGTAAACCATCACGATGACGACATCAGGGGCGACACCATCTATCTCATATGCTACTCTCCAAGGACGGCACAACCTGTTGGCGATGACGAGACCAGGCTCATCAAGACCCTGGTCCAGAACTGCTTGAACAGCGATGATACCTCACTGAGGAACCAGTTGAGGATCAGCATGAAGGCACTGATCGTCAGACTGAGAGACAGCAGCCTCGCTTGGATCAAGAAGATACAGTCTGCCACGGCTTTTGTTGAAAGCAATGTGGACAGGTGAACCCATGTGTTTTTACTCCTGGAAATGTGTTCAGTAAATAACGTACTTTCCTTTAGAGGGGGATGTTTGGAAGGTAGTAGTGGTTGCATGGATCGCACCACTGCACAAACATTATTATTAATTTTATTATTATTATTATTTTTTTTTTAAATTAATTCAGTTTATTAATTTTCCTCAAGCATAAAAACGATGTTATAATATATACAACAAAAAAAATCGCAAATATACATAGTAAAAGAAAAAAATGGAAACTACAAAAAAGTTTATAAAAACTTGTATGGCGTAGTTCCCAGTAAAGGGAAAAAATACATGGTATAAACAATTGCAATAACAAAATACAAACATTTTGCAGATTAATAAGTAACACACTACACCAACAGACACCAGCAATCATACAGGGAGGGTGGGGGGGGGGGGGGTAATGGTAATTGTAAATTTAATGAAGAAAAAAAAAAAAAAAATTAATAATCATTAATATATACCCTTTTCAACTTTGCTTTAAATGAAGTTATATTTGTTGAACTCTTTATTTCCTCTGAGAGGTTATTCCACACGCGTGGACCACTGTGTCTTAATGAGTTAAATAAAAACTGTGTATTAACTTTGGGATAATGAAATTTATTACTTGAGCGAGTATTGTGATAACATGGTATTTACACCAACCATGAGGGACTTTGGAATGAAGAAGATGAATTTTCCTTTACAAGGGTAATCAAATGTTAAGAACATGTCAATGCAACTTTCAACCTGTAAAGATGCTTTGATTCTCCCAAACCACTCCCCTTTGGTGATATAAGGCCAACTAACTCTACTTTGACCAAGGGTGAACAAAAATATCTTCCAAGAACATTTGCAGAACCTCCAGGATACGATGGACGTAGGTGATAGGTGTTATGTATAAATCATGTAATTATTGTGTTCTTATCATCTACTTCTTTGCAGCGGGACTAGAGAGATGAAAGCTGAAACCAAAGCTCTTCAGGCCAAGCTCCAGGCAGCTATGGAACTCATGGACTGGCTGATGGAGCAGAGCTTCTCCTCCCTCTTCCCTGGAGCTTGCTACCAGAGGAAAAGGGCCTCACTAGACCTTCTCCGTCTCATGTATGAGAATCTCACCGGTGGCAAAGAGACCAATCCCAAAAATGCAAGCAGTCCTTTACCTGCAGGTAATACCAAGATTCCACTCCTGCCACTGATTATGTACCTCGTTGTTCTTAAGCCATGAAGTACGGAATCTTTTTTACAAGCCAAACGGTTCATGTGTTGTTTTTTATCTCAAATTGGCAACAATTTTGTTTTTCTTAAATAATACACTTCTCTGTTTCAAAATAATTTTTTAGGATAAAGTTTGCATAATAAAAAACAATCATCACTGTCATTGATGAATGTGTGTACTTGTTTATGGTGTGATATATATTTTGTAGTATGCTTGCAATGCTTTACCGGTAGGTTAAAAGATGATGCATAAAACATGGTCATGATATCTATCTGAGTGGTTAATTCACTTTTATATTTTCCAGCTGCTTCTAAGAAACTACTTTCATGGTGTCAGCAACTTGGTAAGGTGAACCTCTTTTCTGAAAGGTAAATATTTCAATTTCAATTTTAATTTTAATACTGAAAATTTAAAGATAAGGAAAATTATAATGTGTAAAAAGTTATGGACAACGTTATGTTATGCAACTCTCGATAGAAATTTGTCCAAACACAACATTTATAAAATAACACATAGCAAGTTAAGATTAGAAGCAATTATGACAAATTGATAAAATCTTTGGTGATTTTTACAATCTATAACATAAATGAAGAATAATTGACAAAGAGAAAAAGACCTAGATTTATTCGGTTATTGATTGTCAAAATCAAGTTACATCTATTTCATGTCGAGGATTGATATGGTCATACCACTCGGTCAATTTCCTGGCCCTAGCCTATAATGTTATTTAAAGCATCTTACCTGATTTTTTCTTTGATGTTCTCTATTTGAAATTTTAGGAATGCATCTCTCTTGGTGAACTCTCTCTTTGATTCCTCCAATGACATTCGATCATCGGCTTACAATCTATTGGTTGGATCCTTTCCCTGGCCTCTCCCCTCATCTCCAGCCCATCCCTGGTCCAGTCCATCTGAGATCCTGGTCCAAGGCATGAAGCTCATCTGTAGTCCTAAATTCCATGAATGTGAGGCAGGCGCTATGCTGTGCAAGCTCTCTTTTCACAGGTGAGTTATCTTCAAAACATCCATTAATCAATAATTAGTGTCTAATTTAGTGGATTTGTATTGATTTTAATATTATAACTGATCTTTCAAGCAAGAATTGTTACTCCAGACTGAATGGATGTTTTAATTTGAAATAAATAATAGCACTTCATACATTATTGATTAAAATATCACTATTTATGATTTATTGGACAATACAACAACAAAAATAATAACTTGGTATATGAACTAATAAGTAAAAGTGATAATTATAATATAAAGTAGAGGAATCTTGAACTATAAACCCTTGTTATTTTACTTTCTTCAGACAAATGGTTGAGAGTAGTGAAGGTCTGGATGAGCTTGTCAAACCATCCAAGAATAAGTCACCTAGCAAAACCACCAGTCCTCCCGTACAGTTTGTGTTGAGTCTAATGAAAAGCCTCGCCTACCAGTTCAAGTGTGCAAAGATCAACATTCTCCAAGCAGCAGCCCTTACTCCTATGCATGGTGAGTGTAGGAGATTTGTTTAGGATGGGGGAGGGGGCACTTCAAACCATTTGGCACCTTAAACATCCTAAAGTGCCCTTCCTCCCACTCATTGAACTCATATGAGACTTTTGTTCTTAGTAAATGGGTACCTGATATGCTTGAGGGCTAGTTACTTTGGCAGCTCGGCTACGACCAGGGTAATATGTGTAAGGCGCCATGATCATCAGAACCTGACGGATCCTGGCGCTATATAAATAACCATATTATTATTATTTTTTATTTCTAAATACTTGATGCTATTATTAAATGCCTGTAATCATCAAATACTTTCATGTGCTTTTACTACATTAGCATTAAAAACGCTATCAACTTTTTTTTAATGCTGCTATTGTGTATATCAAATGCATATCTTTGGAGATTACTCAATTGGATTCAATATAGGGAACAATGTGTTGTTTTTATTTGTGAATGTATTCTGTCTGAAAGCATTCATAATTGTATTTGTTTTATTGCAAATATATGGCCTTAGTGCATGTAGTATGTACGTTTTAATGGGATATCACAAAATACTTGGTAAACTGCTTTGTTTTCTCATATCAATAAACTATTCTGATTAGAAGGGAACGCTAAAGATGATACAGATATATACAATGATGACATTTTGGAAAAAATTGTTTTAAAATTTTTAAAAGTAAAATAAGAAATATTAGATTGACTTTGATTTTTCTGCCTATCAAGATCTTCTCATTTAATCTCTTACTTGAAATTGTATCATTTTTCAGGTATTATTATGTCAATCAGGAAGTGCCTGACAGAGGATTCAAGAATCTTCTCTATGCTTGTCACCAAGAAACCTGAGACATGGCAGGCCATCGTGAGGGAAATCAATACCATGCTTCATCAGATCATTGAGTTCATCCTAGATCTTTTGGCTGGAAGGACAAAGCCATCCCCTTCTCCTCCTGAGAGCAAGGATGAACTTCCAAGATTGGAAGATTTTGGAACAAAGGATGTTGCTACCAAGACCAGAGATACAGATGGAGCAGCCTCAGTGATAGGGAATGGAAGAACTGGGTTGAGGCAAGAACTAAGCAGCGCTACCAATGAACCCGATGCAAGAATGGACACCACTCCTGCTGGCGATATACGACTTGACTTGGGAGATGTGATACCAGAGACGTCTTCCAAGGGGGAGGAGTTGAACCACATGTCTCCATCCTTTGGAAAGATGGGGGAGGAGATTGAAAAGCTGGTGATGGGCTTAGGAACAGAAGATGAAGGAGATGGTGATGATGGGGCGGGAGCATCGTCCCTGGAGCATCAACTCATTCTTACATGCTGCTGGCTCACTCTCAAGGTGAAACTATATTGCAGTCACAAGCGCCCAACATTCAATGTGTTATTTATATTTATATTTGTATCATCCTCTTACAGTTTTCCCATTAAGGCATTTTGCTACTCATTTCGGAAGACAAAGTCTGAGGAAATAATGTTATAGACTTGTTTTAGGTTGCTTATCAGCATACATGCCAACCGTTCAGATTAAAGAGGAACATTCCTCTTTTTGGGAGAAGATAATTATCATTTTAATGCAGGTGTTCCTCTTCCTGTACAAATTTGTCTGTAGTATTGAATAGGAGAGTTAGGATTGTTCCTCTTTTTTTTTTAAATAGCATAATTTGTACAGATTTCTGATTTTCAAATGTTGGCATGTATGTATCAGTATTTGCTCAGTTTAATCAACTCTTAGCAAAAAACTTGTTTGAAACCAGTATAGAAATAAGTAAAAGATATCTTCATTCATCAGAACTGTTATGTAAAACTTATGAATGATCTGATGAAGGGATTTCCATCAATCAGCTATATCAGTTACCCTCCAATTGTATTTAATATTCTTTCCATTCTATTCCACAGGAATCCAGCTTACTCATGGGGGCTCTAGCAGAAGTTGCTCCCCCGTTTAGAGATCTCCAACATAGGCTTCTAGATAAGCAGCAGTTTGAGCTAATGTCCAAATCTCTTGTGCAGATACTTACAAAGTGTCGTCACAAAGTAAGAAAACAAATTGATTTATTTTTATGCATTTGGAAAACGTATTGCCAAGTAGATAGAAAGACCATCTTAGGAAACTAGGTTTTGAGACCAAGATAGTATAGTGATAGTACAGGCTAAAGGCAGTCCTCCTCAATTACCCAGTCCCTGAGAAGAGAACATTATTACTGTGTTTCTTGGAGTTGACACAAATTGATACAATGATGATATTCACTTTTTGTATAGGACATACCTCATTGAAATGTAATATCTCTATGCACTTGGAAAGGGACTTTGGATATTATTACCCCAGCTTTAGCTCCTACAACCGTGCCACTCATGGAATTCAAGGAATACATCCAGCAGGTACCCACTTACTGAACGTGGGTGGAGTATGGTAAATGTAGATTGATGTCTTTCAAAAGTATGTTAGTGCCATGGCAGGTAATCAAACCCCATATTGTATGATCTACAATACAGTCTGTTGACTCTAGATCACAGCACCTCCATTTGTATGAGCATATATCTGCCTTTTTAGGTCTTAACAATAAAGAGTGGACAGTTATCATAACACTAGAAGTTAAAGAGACACCTAATCAGTGATGTCTCGGTACTATTATATTCCCAATTTCCTGCCCACCCCTGTACATAATGAAACAATCTGCACTCACTCAATGACAGGGAGCTCTAGAAGGCTGCAAGACAGGCTTCTTCAAGGTATGTGCTGCCATATTGTCTTGCCCAGACCCAGACATAGCCTCCATACCCAAGTCTCTTCTAGACCTGGTCTTCACTGTCATCACCACTGCAGCCTCCTCCAATTCCTACACCAAGATGAGTGCCGGTCTACCCCTGCTGGTGGAGTCCATCATTGTGGCTGAGCCCAGGTGTAGGGAGGTGAGTAAGGAGACTTTGGACTGGTGGTTGGTAGGCTTCAATTGCACAGTTTCTGTGATTGCCTTATAATTTTCTGCCTCTGTCTATGAAGGTGATGCCAAAGGCTCTATTTTTGCAGGTTGTCTGCCTGTACGTTCTTCTATCTTGTAATATTCTATGAGACCGTTTAAAGTATCAGATTCTACATACTATGAAGTATCATCATTGTCAAGCGTTCTGTGAATAAAACGGTATAAATCATGAGTTGCAGAAGTAATTTTTGAAAAATAACTACCGTATTTGCCGGCGTAAAGGCCGCACCGCCGTATAGGCCGCACCCCCAACTTTGACATTTTGTAGAGAAAAAAAAAAAAAACAGACAAAGAAAATAATTGTAATTTTCCCGTAGAACTCTATTTTTCCTACAAACTAATACCCAAATTATCAATCATTTTATAAATAAACAGGAAGTTTACCTAAAAAATGATCGTAATTTAGCAAATCTTCATCAATTTTTAGGCAGATTAGCACATTCATGGGACACTAGAGGGCGCTTCGCATCCATACAGAAACCTGAATGGCCAACCTATCGCAGGGTGGAAGCATGGTGGAAGGATGTATCTTTTTTATAATGTTATCCGGTCTTACCCCTATCGTACCGTGGTTCAGACTACATCTTGTCCGATGTGTTTTCAAGTCAATTTTGTTAATATATTTTATTGTGTGAAGTTTTGACTTCGATTTTTACTCTTTCGGCGTAAAGGCCGCACCCCGACTTTTTGATATTTTCTCTTCCAAAAATACTGCGGCCTTTACGCCGGCGAATACGGTACTGTGGGTTTTTAACCTAGCAAAATAATGTAGCTATTTCAAGAATATTGTATGCATACATCACCACTGGGGCAGGGGAAGGAGGAACCAATTACAAATTTGGGTATTAGATCTGAGTTCTATTATCAAATGATTTTTATTGATTGTTATTTAAACTTCTGTGTGTACAATTCATGGCTTTTGGCCTGCAGTATTCTAAAGTTGCGTATAAGCGTGAGGATGGAATTTTAAATAATTTAAATAATTTGAATTTTTGAAACAAAATCAGATTATTTCTTTTTTTCTATGACAGAGGCAACTGCTAAAATACGTCGTTACAAAGCTGATGGAAATAGCCCAACAGCCTCTTCCAGAACAGCCTGATGCCAAGCAAGACCTCCCTCAGTCCCATGCACTGAATATCATGAGGTCCCTCTTTGTCAATACCTCACTTGCATGGGAAGTACTGCGGTATGCGGAAGACGCTGTCCAGTTGGCCATTGATGGGTTTGCGTCCAGTAACTGGATGGTACAGAACTCTAGCATGCAGTTGTTAGGTATGTCGAAGTAGTTTTATCTTTATATCGCTGACGCAAAGCAGAATACGTCATGTTAAATTCATGAGAAGTGAAGATACCTGAGTACCATGAACAGATATTTTTTGATGATATAGGACTAGCACTTCTATAGTCGTGCTGTTAGCCTAACTCTCAAATTTGTAAAAAAAAAGAAGTGCTAATCTGACAAAGGACCCTCAAAATCTAATAATGACCCCCCAAATTCAACACTTCCCCATACAGATATTTCTATCCTTGTGACCCTTGCATACAGGAACAGGCTAACTACTGTATTAAGCCTAGCGGAATGAGAGAATTGTGGTATATTACAATAGTTATCACAAATACTACCACAGTCTGTAAAATGCGGGAGACCGCTTCCAAAAAAACCCACCATTTTTTAAAACGTTTATATGAATGGCAACTGCAACACAGGTGTATTCACTGAGCTCTGTATTATAGAATACAGAAATGGGACTCATAATACATAATACACAAACAAATGCTGCGGTTTTGTAGCCTCATATCTGAATGAGGCCTTATTTTGCTATTATGTAAACCAAGAAAATCTGTTGATTCTTTCACAGGGGCCCTCATTGCCCGCATCTTTGGCCAGAAGAAGGTCCAGGATGAGCACTCTCAGGTCAACACCCTCTCGGCTCCAGAGTTCTTCCAGCGCTACCCACGACTTCGTCTCTACTTCCTGCAGGAGGTCAGGAGGGCTGCTGCACTCCACCGACAGGGATCTGGTGCTCCGGGGCAGGAAGAAGGAGAAGGAGGAAGTCTCCATCTTATACCAACCCTCCATCCTGTCCTCCTGGTCCTCACTAAGCTAGGAAGTGGTATTGCCACCCAGGAACAGAAAAAGTAAATGCCAATTCTCACATTTGCAATTATCAATGAATATAAGCTTTGTATGAATGATTCAACAATACCTTAAACACTGTGTGTCAGTGGTCCCATCTCTGCAATATTGGTAAATATGAACTTGATGGGTACAGGGTATATAAGTCAGATATAAAATGCTGCAAATAATCTCTAAAATCAATCAACCAGTTGGTCAATTTATGGCTATTTCTGCACAGGAACCGCTTGTGAGTGAATTTGTTAAGAATAGAATAAAATTATGCATTGTTCTGTTTCATACATTGTGCAGATATTTCAAGACAATAATTATTTTAGTTCTATACCAATATTAAGAAACTTATATACTAATATTTTTTTGCAAATGTTATCATTGCTGTCAATACTGAGTATTTCTTAGTTCTTTCTCTAATTGTGAAAAAGTGTAAATTGAAAAAGATTATGTTATAGTTATACAACTCTGTATATATGAAGAGATGCATGTACTTGTTAAAGTCCATTCAGTAGTTTGATTGCTAGATTTTAATAGAATAGTGGCTTTATTACCACCATTTAATACCTTGTTTTTTCATCTTTGATTTGTTTATTGATACAGGGAGCTTGAAGAATTTATTGAACCACTCTGCTCCCTTGCTTCAAGCCCTATCTACTCTGTTAGGGACCTTGCTTCAAGGGCTATACTCCCACTGTTGTCTGACAATGAAGAGGTTTCCAACATGGCGGCCAAGCTGTTGGACACTATCCCACTGTCGTCCAATCCCCTCATCACCAGTCAGAATCGTCTCCATGGAATCTTACTAATGGTTCAAAAGCTGCTTACATCAAGCATCAATAAGAAAAGGTGATTGTTGGTGGTATCTTTCGGTATCATTCATGGTTTCAAAAAGTTGAATCATCGTTTTGCATGATTAATCAGTATTTCTAGCATTCAATGAATCCATGATTATGATCTTGTGTATTTCCACTTGAATTTAGCTATTTTGTACCGGTACTCTGAATAGAATTGTAATGGTTGATGATTGTGAAGAAAATTTATGGAATACCAAGAAAACGTTGCACAGTATGCCATCTAGGAAACAGAAATTTCTACCCCTTAGCATTAGAAAAATATACATTGAATGATGATGATGATGTCATCAGTACTAACATTTAATGAGTACTGACTTAAAAAAATTAATTCTTGGGCTGTTAAAGGTAATACAAAGTTTAGGTATGAGGTCGTGAATTTGGTTCAAATAAACATATTGGAAGCATTATGCGATCCTACAATATTCACTGATCGTTGTCACGGTCGAAATCAACTCTAAAGTTATGAAATTGTAAATAATTAACACTTTATGTTGTATAGCTCCCTCTCAAGGTCAAGATATAAATTAAGCTATAAAACAATGTTTCTTGACTAAAATCGACCGATTAGCTATTCGCGTTCGGAAATTAAATACCAACTCTACATATTCTGAGATTTTCATGGTCGCAGCTACCATTGAACGGCCGTAGAAGCTATTTGAAATTTATCAAAATTTACCGGGAGCACCGGTAAATTTTTATATTCAATTTTTCTCGAAAGCAGAAGTGTTTTAGGGGCTAAAATTTCTAGTGCTTTTAATACATCCACAGGGGCATCCAAATATATAAAAATTGTAAAGATTCACTATCCACCCATTTTTTTAAAATTTCCCAAAACTTTGTAATACCTTTAACTGAAAGTCACCTGGTTTATATGAAAATTTAACTAACATTGAACTACAGCTACAGTACAATTATTAGTTGTTTAATTAATCTCTTTCCAGCCTGCAAGAGGACACGGTTCAGGAGCTGACAGAGAAATTTGCCAGTTGTCTTTGGGTAGGGTCCAGCATGAACCCCTGCCCTACCACCAGGGCTCAGTTCATGCAGATCTGTACCCAGTGGTGGGAAGGTGCTTTCCATGTCAAACCAGACCGTGTGACCTCCCTGGTCGTAGAGTCTATGGGTGTTCTTGAGGACTTCTTCATGACGTCGCCTTCATTCCAGGTATATCATAGAGATATTTATTCAATAGAGAGATGTTTATACATTATTTTTACTCTTTTTACTCGTTATTATTGAAAGAACTTTTATTACTTTGTTTTACTTCCAAGTAGTATTTTTCGTTTATTTGAGTTTTTGACGGTGATCTTTTAAACAATATATCAGGAGCTAGCTTTAGAGTGAACAGATTTTTCTGGACCAATCCACAATTTTCTCATTTGCCTGTTTTTAGGTTGGGCTCTCGACCTTGGGACAGGAGATGACTACCTCTTTCATCTCCATGTCAAAGTTCATCCCTGACAAAATCACCAACCTTTCAACCCTGACCGGCACTCTCCTGACCCATGATCTACCAGAGGTCAGGGTGTTGACCCTGAAGTACCTCAATGACCTTGTGACATCAGGAGCAGAGCTCAGCATGGAGTCATGCAGCAGTCTCCAGCTTCAAGTCATGGAGTTACTTCTGATTGAGGATAGCTTCAACTGTCTTTCTCTTGCTCTAGATCTGTGGGTGGAGCTAAGCAAGGATATGGATGCCAAACCAGAAGGTGATTTACAGGTGCTGTTGGAGCGACTGTTGGCAATGACGGCTTCACGAGGAAGCGACTTGAGTTCATGTGCTGCAGTTCTTCCAGCTCTGAGTGTGGCTCTCAGGCTTGCTTCCGACGACTTCAAGAAGTAAGTGAAGCTACATAATACTGTTTTTGTTGTTTCTTTGTTTTGCTCATATTATTTTATGTTATTGAAATTTGATGAGTCAAATTGTCACACATGTAGGGTATATAACCTACAGGTTATTAGAATTGTAAGTTGTTTTTAACAGTTTTTGGAAAGAGGGCATTGAAATTTGAACCAGAGTGTTATCTTCATCAGAGATCTTACTTGAATGGATTGTTCATGCTACTTGGCTTTACCTGTAAAATTGTTATCCCGTGTTTTGCTATACGGACCTTCTATTGCTATGAATAAAACTTCTGGATATATTCCCAAACATTCTCAATGGAGAGAGCATAATAATACGATGCTATGTATTGTGTATACAAGTCATCATAACATATGTAACAAGCTTTTATGATAGCTTGATTGATTGATTTCTTTATCTATCTTCTTTCTTTTTTCAGTTTGAATCACGAGATGACCCTGCAGTGGTGTGACCTGGTTCTAAAGTGCAGTGACCCTTCTCAATGTGAGACCCTGCACCTGTCTGCAGCCAAGTCATTGAGGCATAGCGGTGTTCATGTCCTCAAGATGTGTGACCCTGACAACATTAAACACTGTGACTTGGCCTTTATGTAAGTCACTTAAGAGTTGAATTTTCACTTTATTATGCCTCCGTTACGAAGTAGCCGGAGGCATTATGTTTTCGGGTTGTCCGTCCGTCCGTCCGTACGTCCGTACGTCCGTACGTCCGTCCGTCCGTCCGTACGTCCCGTTCTCGTGATCGCGTTATCTGAAGAACCGATTGACGGATTCCTGCCAAACTTTGGTCATGTATGTATCTTGCAGAGCCGATGAACTGATTAGATTTGGGGGTCACGAGGTCAAAGGTCAAAGGTCACAGGGCTCATTATGTATGCAAAAACAGCTCGTGATCGCGTTATCTGAAGAACCGATTGATGGATTCCTGCCAAACTTTGGTCATGTATGTATCTTGCAGAGCCGATGAACTGATTAGATTTTGGGGTCACGAGGTCATAGGTCAAAGGTCACAGGGCTCATTATGTATGCAAAAACAGCTTGTGATCACGTTATCTCAAGAATCGATTGATGGATTCCTGCCAAACTTAGGTCATGTATGTTACTTGCAGAGCCGATGAACTGATTAGATTTTGGGGTCATGAGGTCAAGGTCAAAGGTCATGCGGCTCATTATGTATGCAAAAATAGCTTGTGATCGCATTATCATTAGAACAGATTGATGGATTCCTGCCAAACTTAGATCATGTATGTATCTTGCAGAGCCAATGAACTGAGTAGATTCTTGGGTCATGAGGTCAAAGGTCAAAGGTCATGGGCTCATTATGTATGCAAAAATAGCTTGTGAACGCATTCTCATTAGAACTGACAGATAGATTACTATTTAACTCGGGACATCTTGCGGAGCCAATGAACTGAGTAGATGTTAGGGTCATGAGGTCAAAGATCAAAGGGTCATATATGTATATGAGAAATTGCTTGTAATCACGATATTCTGAGAACCTGTTAATGGATTACAATTGAACTTGAATTTGAAAAATTTCTTCTGTTTTGGTTTGTAAATTGCTCTATGACGGAGGCATCATTTCGACTGCGTGCAGTCGAAGTTCCATCTAGTTTATTGCTGCTGCTGTTGTTTTGGTTTATCTTTATTTTTATTTGTATGCCAAAAAATAATCTTGATGATTGTAGCTATTTTTTTGGAAATCCTACAAGGCAGAATCTCTGAATCATTCATGTTAAACTGTGAAAAAAGTACATTGATCCTGAATTCATACGTCATGTCATGAGAGATAATTTGTACAATATATCAGTAGTGTAGATTATCTTCCATTGGATCAGAGGGAAATCATTGAATATATATGATTAAGTTTTATGAATGCTTTTCATAACCAAGTGATGGTCTTCTTCTGTAAGGGTCAGTTCAATCATGATTTCTGTAAAATCTTTGTCTGTCTCCTTTCTCAGTAATCATATACCAATTGCTTATCTCAATATTGTACATTCTGTATATGATTCCGATCGGGTCACTTCTCTTCTATTGTTTATTTAATTCCAATGTATTTCTTTTAGGTAAAGATGATAATGAATCAGAATTTAATTTAATTGGATCACTGAGTCCTTGATTTAATATTGTATCCTGTTTTATGACTGATGTACCTATTGTGTCACTTTTACTGATAGGATAATGAGAGCAGGCATGTTGCTCTTGCAAGATGAACAACCAGAGGTTCGAGAGGAAGCTGCAAGATTTGCATCTTTGATACCAAGAGAGGGAGCTCTATTGAGTAATGTCGATGTAAATCACATCCATTGTAGCACCGGTTTAAAGGTAAGTCAACTAGAGACACTAAAGCCACAATTAACTTTTTTTCTGTGAGTAAAATTCTACTGAGCGAATCATGTTTTAATAAAATGCACTGCCCTCTATTGCATTCATGAAGTTGCAAGTGATGTAAGTCACAAAATTTTCTTAGCTTGTAGGCACATCACTGGACTTCTGTACATGGTTGATATTATTTGTTGATCCTCATTTTTCACTTCTGATAATGTGTGAATATGAAGAAAAAGTAAGACTGGTCAGCTTGCCCATGAATGTTTTATCTAATTATTCTTTTAATTGTACCCTCTATTTTGTACGTATTTCTCTTTTGTCAGATTTTGTTACAGTTTGTATGTGACAAGTTCTGCATCAATGTAAACTTCTTGGATACAGTGATTAGTCTTCTCATTGGTGATGCATTCATAGTTGAAGAACTGATCTATGAAGAGACACATAGCAAGTGAGTTGAACTGAAGTTTCATTTGTACTGGATTATGAATACATCCTGGCACATCTACGCCGTCGCCCTGACAGTGAAATAAAGCAATAGAGGTCAGAAGGTGAAAGCACGTTAGCTCTTGAAAGCTCCAAAAAGCTTTCAAGAACCCTCAAAGAGCCCTAATAGAAAATGTGTTATAATGATTGACTCTTAGGAAATTTTGCCTTTTTGATTGAAAATCGTAAAAGAGCTCCCATGAAAAAAGTTTTTTTCTTGTCTTTTTCCACACTGCACTCTTTCATAACAAGTTAATACTACAATTGATGATGTAAATGCTAAGACAGTCATATCGGTAGTGTAAATATCAACATTGGAGCTATACAAAGATGTGAATTGATATGCCTGTATACATCTATTTTTCTTTCTCCAGCTCTTTGAATCTGTTTGAGCAAGATAGTGCCAACATGTATGCTGAAGGGGTTATGGAGGCTAATCTTGTGTTTCATGCTGTAAAGGTAAATCGTCATAGTTTTTGAAATATTAATTAGAATTATTTGTCACTCTCAGAAAATGTGTTCTCATATTTTTGTGACTTGATTGTTTTAATTTTATTGAGAGCAGTATTTTCTGAACACTTCTGAAATTAACATGTGTTTAGCCTAAAAATCATCACCTTTAAAACAGTCAAATTTACCTATTCTCCTCATGAATGTTTTTCACTACTATTTTTTTCTTCAATTCCCGTCATAGACATGATTAGAGATTATTAAATATTTGAACAGAATACTAGTTTATTTAAACAAATGAACTTTACACCTTCTTGTGAATTTTACATAATATATCTAGCACTTTATGATCAGCCAATAATGATATTAATTATTTCATCATAACAACAGGAACTGCTCTTACATATTCGATAAGCCTACATGTATATGACACAATCATCACTAAACTTTATGGCCCAAATTCACAAAGGAGGTTTAAATTTAACCCATGGTTTAAATATTCATTTACATAACCCATGGTTTAAAATTAGCCCAAAAGAAGCGTGACACATGTCAGAGGTCCAATATTAGAGGCGCGCAAGGCAAGGTATACTTAATTTGTGCTAATTCTAAACCATTGGTTATGTTAATGAGGGTTTAAACCATGGGTAAATTGTAAGCCTCCTTTGGGAACTCAGGCCAATGTGTTTATTTTTAATGTTTTAAAAAAATAAAAAAAATTATGCTCATTGCTTCTCTCTCTTTTTTTTCAGGATGCAGTAGCACTGTTGATAGAGCATAAATCATGCAGCCTGAGAGATTGGATTAAAGACAGATGGGAATTCACACAATTCAACATGGCCGCCCTTATCATGTACCTAGACAAACACCCTGTCACTGGTATGGATTATAGATTCTTGCCTGTAATCATTCGCACATCTTTGTCCTTAGAAAATATATTGTGTTTTTTAAATATTTTATTATGTGCAGATACAGATATAAATTGTTCACTTCTCATATTTTACAGTTCCAATATGATTATAACAGGTTTGTCTTTGTTTGGGAATATGTTGTACTCACAAATGGTACAGGTACTATGTAGAAAGAAAAATGCATTTGATCACATGTAGACTGTCAAATAACTCGTTGATCAACTTCAAAGTTACCATTGATTTAGCATACAGATGAATTTGCCACATTTACACAAGTAAAATTGCAGTATTAAAGCATTAGCTTAGTATGTATATTTATCTCTATTAATAGTTCAAATTGATAGGTGCAGTCAGTGCTTTAATAGATAAACAAGCAATTAAATATCTTTGTTTTAGATGCATTCAATATGTTATTTTGACGTAACTCCGGGTCACAGATACAAATTTAATTGAAGTTTGCCATTTTATTTGTATCATTGTTATGATGCCCAGACTATGAAAGTATCATCCCAACATATAAACTGAAATAAGTTGAATTACATCACATTTCTTTCTTTTTCCTTACAGCGAACAGTTTCTATGCAGGGACAGGTCATAGTAAACCCTACCAAGCTCTTTACAGACTACTCCTGTATGTCTGGCTTCTCCAGACAGCATCCATTCTCATCAAGCCACCTATAGAGGGAGTCCTGGAGGTCAAGCAGAAGATCGAGGGTCACCTGAAATCAATGCGGAAGGTAAGAACAATTTGATGAGAAGAATTTTGTTGATGTTATCAACTTTTGCTTGGTGTGGATGGAATAAGGTATATTAACAAATGAAAATGATTTTATTTTTCTTGAGTCTTTTACTTTGAGACAGAAAATTCTGTTAAACATTTTAACTTGTGACGGTGCATTGAAAAAAAAAATTCTTATATTATAGTAGAGTGAGATAAAAAAATAATTTAGATGGTTGATAAACAAACTGTCAATTTGAAGAAGAAATAAAAAGAACCGGGCATGGTGGCTCAGTGGTTAGAGCGCCCGCCTCATGAACAGGAGGTCGTGGGTTCGAACCCTGGCTGAGTCATACCAAAGGCTTATAACAATGGGACCTCTGCCTTCTAGCTAGGCACTCAGCATATTAGATTGGAGAAGGGTAGTAATAACATATTATGTTATGCAGGGCCCGCTGGAAGAGCAGTTTCATAACTGAAGTGGCTACCCTGGGTAAATAAAACGTTATTATTATTATTATTATTATTATTATTATTATTATTATTATTTCATTTTACCTTCATGTGTGGATAAAAAGCCAAAATACAAAGTAGCTACTTCTCACTGAATATATGATTTTCTTTTCATACCCAGATGTTCTATGTGTTCCCGCTGCTGAAGGAGTCTATTCCGACCAATCTGGTGGTAGAGGAACTTCCTGGAAATTCAACAGAGATGGACTGACAGCTCTCCATTCGACTTGCCAGATTATTGGTTCAAACTTGAATCATAGAATATCAAACCAGAATTTGTTTATAGAAAATGTTATGAGTTTCATGGTTAGGTCATATTTTAGTTTGACATATTGACAGAGATTTATGTATAACAACCCTTTATTTTTGCAGTTTGCAAATGATTCTTGCCACTCAAAGGCCATCCTGAACGATTTTGCAAAATTTTGAGTTGAATAAGTTTCTGGTTCTACTGTATTTTTTTTCTTGAGGAGCACTTTCTTGTGCTGCACCATCAGAACCAATTACACATCCTGGGGATATACAGCTTACATAGCATACAGTTTATGTTCAATATTGGTAGAGGAAGAAGAAGAAAATGATGAAGTTTAACCCTAATTTGACAAACGGGGAAAAAATATTCCTCGCTCAGTGTGTACGGGGGGTCTTGTTTGCTAATGTTTCAAATTATCAACCCTCTGGCATTGGTATCACTCCAGATTAATTGTGCATAGTTGGTTCAGGCTGCACAAAACTCTGCCTGTTAACTTGCCAACATTCATACATGATATGCATTAGACTTGACTGCTGGTTATTTCCTTCTTTTTTTACCGGTAGTCATGACATTCAAGCACAAACAACTGTCAAATATAGTCACCAATAAGTTGCGTGGATTGAATTTGAAGTGCATTGTATTCCCTGGTATGTTTTAAAAGGTGTATGTACTTTACCTCGTAGCATTTTGTCTATGACAATTTGAAAAGCTCATGCAAAAGGAAAACAAGAATTTTTTGTTTAACCTCACCTTTGAAAAATCGATGAAATGCTATCTTACTCCAATACTGTACAAGTCTTTTATCTTATTCGCAAGTTAAAGTATTGGGGTACCGTCTTTTATTTGATTAGATTGTATTATTGTTGTACATTTCACACAGTATATGCCCTCAGCAATTATTTATATCTTAAAAACCCAGATCACATATCAGATCTGATATCTTGAGCCAAGATGCAATGATTTTCTAGAGCAAAGCGATAGATTTTTTTTCCAAGCATTTTCAGTCTCATGTTTTGTGAATAAATTCTAATAATAGAGGTGCATCAAAACCTAGTGAGCAATAATTTTTTTACTCGTATAGCTTACACAATTTAAGCATTTTCTATGCATGTAGTTGAAATTCATTGTGTTTTGCTAGTATGTATATGTTATTAACTGAAATTGAAATAATTGATAATAATTCAAATGCTCTGCCGAGCAAACAATACAAAAAGCAATATCTTACATTTTACAGTAAATCATTGAATTGATATTTTGTACTGTAAATACAAATGCTTATTATATTTCATGTTGAACTTAGCAGAAAAGCGTTCTTCAAGATTTTACACAATTAAATTTGATCTGTATTAACTTGCATTAAATTTAATTTTGAATGAACAAGGAAGTCATGATCTGTTGTAACTCTGGTAGCATGCTCTAACTGTGGAGAGCAATATTGATCTGAAAGATAATATAAGCAGATAATGAGATCTTGCACCTGTATCATGAAATCTATTGATGATCGCATTTAAATCTTCAACTTGTGCATAGCTGCCAACCATTCCTATTTTTGGAGGTTAAATTCCTACTGTTGTTCCTCCAAAATAATGTAATGAACTCTAGATTCCTATATTTTTTCTTCTGAAAACTTCTGTGTAAAAGGGAAACAAGATTAGACTATTCCTAATTTCACCTCAAGAGATTCTAAATGTTTGCTGTGAAAGGTTGACAGGTATGCTTCTGCCGTTTAATGCAAGATCACTCTTATAACTGTAAAATGCTGTACACTTGTCATTGATTCTTGAGATATGAATGATAGATTTTCAAGAATTTTGATTGACTTTATAATTTTTTTAATTATTAAATGTACAGCAGTTCATAAAAGAATTGATACAGCACTGTTGGGTTTGTGTTTAAAGTTAGTGAAGTGCCAATTACGATGTTATGACTTTAAAAGAGAGAACCAAGGTATCTTAAATCAGTACTAATATTAACTTGTTGTAGATGATACATATGCTCCTCATTATGAATTTGATTAATTGGTTTCATTACTCATCTAATTATACATTGTGTTATCTATTGATTCCTGCTTTAATAGAATGTAATGCTTAATGCAAAAACTATAGTCTACAAGTTGAGAATCTGCAAAGGAAGCAGACAACTTACATACTTGCAGTGGATGCAAGCTATTCAAAAAGTATTATTTTTGCCTATTTCTACTTTAACATTTTAGAATTTGCCCTCTATTTCTGCAACAGTGTAAATATATAAATTAAACATGTATGTAATCTCTTTTTTTCCAGTACATTTTTCTTGTGGACTGAAATTGTTTGGTATTTCTACATCTTTCAGATAATTATGTTTAATGAATTGATATACTATTAATGTCAATTAAGTTTGAAATGCTTAAGTCAAAGTCAATTTAACTTAGACTGAACATGTGATTCATGGTATAATCAGAGTTTGCAATATCGTTGTGATAATTAATGTATATAATATGATTTTCTTTTTAACTAAAATAATTAGAGCCTAAACAGGCTGGTGAATGGATTTTTATCAACTTCTTTGCTACACTTTTATAGAAATTTATACCTTTGTTAACTGTTCTGTGTATGTTTGACTAATGATTTTGGTATACATTCATCAAATAATTCTGTTGCTTTTGTTCAGGTGTATTTGAAGAAAAAAAAATATCATCATCTATAAATCACAAGATGAAGCGTGATATTTGTACTACCAATATATATCTGTATTTGTACCACATATCTCTGTTTTATGTAAATATTGTTTCTTACATTACTTTGATAAGTGATTAATGGATATCATGTTAAACAGATTATGTTTGTACCACCAGATTATGTCTGTAAAATATAATTGAAATAATTATGGATAAACCTACTTTGAATATACTTCTTTCTTTTCTACTTCAAATGTATTTCTTTGTATTGTGTATTGACTATATCAAATTATAAATGAACAGAATCAATTTGGCAAAGGGGAGGGGGAGTGACATCTCATACCCATAAAGTAACTTTCCATTTTACACATTATGCCAGCAATGAAAGCATGTTAAAATGAATTGTTTTAGGAATTAGATTTTTAAATCACTTGATTGTGCCAACTGGAATAAAGGACAGTGTATATTGCAGGGGCAGATTCAGGATTCTTAAAGTAAGGGGGGCTACAATTCTGAAAATTCTCTGATAGGCAAGCAATCAAGACATTTCTTTAAACAAACTTCAGGTGCTCTATTGAGTCTAAAGATTAAATGGTCGAGGGAGAAGGGACGAGAAAGGAATTAAGGGGCACTGGCAAATTGTGCCTCCTTCAATCCTCCCCTATTCAATATGAACAGTCCTTACGAACATGGGACAACCTGCCCTGATCCACATAATTTCACATAAATTAGTTATGAATATTTCCATATGATATCACTGCGCAAAAAAAAAAAACACAAATAGACGGCACATCTTCTCATCCCTTCACTACCCCATGTTATCTTTGGCCAATATTATTGGGTACCCAAATAAAAAAACAGGAACAAAAGAATAATGTTCTTCCTTATTTTCTAGTCATCCAATTAAGATGTCAAGCAGTAAAAGTTGATTAAATTTATTCTATAATTATATCTTTCCACAAACACTATCGTAAATGGTAGTAGTTTCATTGGTGGTATTGGGTTCTAGGACAATTACTGTCTGGCCAATAACCCCCCCCCCCCCTCCGAAGTTAATTTTCCCATATGACAATTACCCCCTGAAAAAAATCTGCTTTAATTTATTTAAAAAAACTTATTATCAGGGAAGAAGGGTGGGTAATTTTCCATTGATGGTCCAAAAATGATTTCCATATGCAGAAAGTCCCATTGTTTATAAAGAAATTATATAGGTTAATATAATAATATAATATAATAGTGGCTACTTGTATAGCGCACAGGTCCACCTTTCGGTGCTCATGGCGCTTAGAGAAAAGGACATGTAACAGACATATGAAAGAAAAACAACAATAAACCGAAAAAACAAAATTTGAAATTCTTCTAGACATGGCAAATTAAAATATTACAATATTTACAACGAAAGAAACAATAAGTTTTCAGTTGTAATTTGAATGTTTCTGTTAATTGCATTGTATCTGAAGTAAAAGACCAAAAAATGCATTTATACAATTTCAGATACATGTCATATAGAAAAATGATAACAAACTCAAATTATTATATTTATATATAAGAGTGGGGGGGGGGGGGGTACTCACATATTAAGGCATAGAGGGATGAGGCACTCTAATGGGACACTTTTTCACACAAAAATCCCTAAATATGGGTCCCATTTTTGTCAAAAATATCCCTAAACATGGGTCCGTTTTTTCAAAATTTAGAAAATTGGGCCTTTTATATTGCAAGAAGATTCCTCTAAAATGATCGACTCTTAAAAATGAGAAGGGGTTTCGAAGCTTGAGCGGCACACCCCCTCCAAACCAAATCTGAGTACCCACTGGAAGTGCATGAGGGAAGGAATTGAAAGAATAGTAGAACATTGCATATAATTAGTTTTTTTTAATAAAATGTGCATTTAATAATCTTTGATTAACAGTAAAAACTAATTTAATGATCCTGAATGGATAAACATGTCAAATGAGTAACGTAAAACGCAATAAAAACGTATTGGCAGCAGTGGGATTCGAACCCACGCCATCGAAATGACTGGTGCCTAAAACCAGCGCCTTAGACCGCTCGGCCATGCTACCTCGATGAAACTATGAGAGGCCGCTGGCGACCCATTCTTCAGTTCCAGCTTCTAAAAGCCCGTGGCGGCTGCTAAATCATTCGTCTTTTTACTAAAACTGTATACATTGTTTATAAGTGGGATTTCATGAACAACATGCTGACATTTGAGAACCTATATGTAATATTTTGGTAATTATCATTAAATGTGACTGTCGTACGGAAAATTACGCCACCACCTGTCAGAAAAAGGAGTCCGCGCGAGCTTTGAAAAACAGGTCGATCGAACGAAAGCGGCTCAGCGGAGGTGACTCACTCTTCCGCTGTACTCGGCCGTGGAGTGGGCGGTGTATGATCGATGCGTGCATGAAGCACGGGCTGTATAGAGACCAGCGCTCTCCTGAGGGTATTTCCCTGTTGTCACGAGCGGTACATTAACTAAAAGATTACCGTACCCCTTACTTTCTTCTTCCCGTTTTTAAAAAATGAGGAAAACTGATAGACCATTTTTTATGTTTGATGTATTGCTTAAACTTTAACGACTACGAATCAATCATTTATGTCTTCGCCAGTGGCGTAGACAGGTTCGTACACCTGGGGGGGATGACTCAGGGGCGGATCTAGCTTTTTGCTAAGGGGGGGGGGTTGACCAAAATAATGACGATGCGGAGCATCGTCCACGAGCCGCGAAGCGGCGAGCCGATTTTTTTTTGGGTGTTTATTTGAACCCCTTAAGTGATGTTTTCCTGGCATCTATTAACACAATGGAGACCATAAAAAGCAGTGCATGATAACGTCTTTTTAAATAAAGTAACCGTGTTAAATACACAGTTATATCCAGAGTTATCATGTGTTTGGTTAAGTTACCAGATGAGTTGAATATCTTCTCACAATGTTTGCACTTGAAAGGGTTTCTCTCCAGCGTGCGTTCTTTTTTCTTTCTTTTTTTTTTTTTTTTCCTTTTTTTTTGTTTTGTTTGTTTTTTGGGGCCGCCCAAGGGGGGTTTAAACCCCCTAAACCCCCGTTAATCCGCGCCTGTTTAATCTTGTGGTTATCTTGTGGTTTCCAAACCACAAGATAACCACAAAATACTTGTAAGATTTTCTTTTTTTTACCGTCTGAATTGGCTTTCACCGTGTGAATGCGGCTAATAACAATAAACACAATTACAATAATGATGAGGATTATTATTATCATCATCATCATAATTATTATTATTATTAATATTATAATTGTTATCATTATTATTATTAATATTATTATCATCATTATGACTTATTAAGTAAGCAAATATCATTCCCCAAAACCTGGGGGGATGATTGCACATGCCATCCCCCCCCCCCCCCACCTCGTGAGGTGGGGGGGGGGATGCATCCCCCTCATCCCCCCCCCCGTTGTCTACGCCCCTGGTCTTCGCAATGAATCGGACCAGAAAGTTTTAAAAGTTTGGAATATTTATATCAAAATCATAAGTTCTGACACACTGTACCCGGCCCAATTCAACCAATTCATGAGTATAATAACGCTGACTGACAACCTGTATACAATAATAAAAATTAAAAAAAATGATGGTTTATACAATGATGAATTATTTCACCCGGCCACTAACACGATGAAATAGCCAATAGACTTACGAGAAGATTATCAACAAAACTAATTATCTCTACAATAATTCAGAGGTTATATGGGCCTAGCTTTTTGGAAATTCATGGATCTGTATAAGTGACTAAGAAAACTTGTCTGAGCTTAATATACAGCGGGGACTCAAACGTTAGCCTATTATAAAAGGTATTTACAGAACATATCCGATAATATTGATTCGATATACTGATCTAAATGTCTGTTCGTTTAAGAAGTATCAGTGTGTGTGATGGCAATAAAAGCTTACAAATTATATATTTTTTTTCTCTCTGGAAGATTTCCAAGATACGTATAATATTATTTTTTAAAAATTTGATCGTGGATTATGCGATGCAATTAGAAAAGGGTTAAGCAATTGTACTTTTTTTAACGGGTGCCACAACCCCTTTTACCAGATACAATGGCCTTGGTTATGAAACTTAGGATGTTCACATAATCTATGCAATTTAATTACTCCTTACTGTACTGGGGGGGGGGGCCTGGGAGGCCCCACCCCCTTGACATTTTCGGAGATTGCGCCGCAACCGCTTTGAATTTTGAATTGTCGTTTCATGACTTTTTTTCCCTCAAGCCTTACGCACATTTTGATATCTTTTCGTTGAAATCGGATATACCTGTAAGGTGTTACATAACAATTAGTATGCTCATGTCATCAAAAATATGCTATAATATTGCATATATTCATGTACAAGCAGAAATGTGAATACAGTTTAGATGTATTTCTTCCTAAGTGGGAGATATGAATTGATGTCAAATTGCTTTTATATGTTTCTCAAAGTAACTAGATGTATTCCAGAACAAAAGAATACATTAGAAATAAAACAATAGATATAATAAGAAATAAAAAACAATAAAATACAAAAGAAAATAAATATTTGAAAATCACATCAACTAATTTGCATAAATTATCATTATTAATTACTTCAAAATAACTATTTTGTGTTAGAAAAGAAGTTTCATATGAATAATGAGTTTCAATTAACATTCAAAAAGTGGAGTCTGACAATTTTTGTAATGATTCTAGTTCCCTGTATATTTCCAGATTTGATATTCATGAATGCGTATTCATAATGTATGCAAATTAACCTATGCATTTTCAAATATCATAAAAATAATGTAACCTCATGAATTTGAGATGAAGGAAATATTTATTCAATACATTTTCAACATTCTTCACAAGTCTACAGTCAAATATGTAGAATTCCTTGTAAAATGAATAAAATTAGCATTTTGCATAATTAATTAGGCTATAACGACAAAAATGTGCATATTAGGAAAAAAAAACTAATTATACCATCTTGTTCCTTACGTAAATATCTACAAACATGCAAATTTTCGTGTTCATCGGACTTTCGACGGCCGAGATCATAATAGGAGGGGTGCCTCCCAGCCCCCCCCCCCCCCCCCCCCACTCAGTTACGAGGTGCTCAAAATAGCCCAGTACAGTAAGGGTTAAAGAGAAGGAGAGGTGAATGTACAAGTTTTCTTAAAAGGAAATGCATTTTCGACCTGAATGACAAGAGTTGGGAAACATATTGTACCATTGATGTGGGCTTACGATGGTTTCAGTTTAAGGTTTTGCAGCGTATATATTATATACGAATGATTTACTGTTTAAAATTAATATAGTCCCAAGAGATGAATGTACATTTTGTAAGGAACAGAGCGAAACAGTTATACAGTCATCTGCTATAGTGATTGTACGCATGTTAAACATAATTATTTGGGATAGGTTAGAGCACTGGATATATACTGGAAACGGAAATAGAATAATATTTTCACTACAAGATAAATTATTTGGTTTAAGAGGTTCAGATAATAATTATGTATTGGTAACGTCCCATTTAGACTACTGTAATTCATTATTAATCAACTTACCTGCTTCTCATCTGGCCCCACTCCAGCACATCCAGAACACCGCTGCACGCACCCGCACCAGAAAGCACGATCACATCACTCCAGTCATCCGCACCCTACATTGGCTCTTAATTCCCCAACGTATCCAATTCAAGATTCTTCTCCTCACGTTCCACATCATCCATCAACACGCACCATCATACCTGATTGAACTGATCTCACCCAAACAGACTACCGGCATGAACCTTAGATCATCATCCAGACCCCAGCTCGCACTCGGTCCTCGCACCCACAACCGCTATGGTGACAGGGCCTTCTCAGTCTGTGCCCCCACTCTTTGGAACATTCTCCCCGCCCATATCCAGGACTCACCCACCATTGACATTTTCAAAAAGAATCTAAAAACTCATCTATTCCAAAAGCAACCCAAATAACTCTATAATGTCTTTTCAAATTATTACTATTACTGATATAATGTGTTAATTTCAAAGGAATTTACATGTTTTGTTAATTTCTTTAGTAATGTTAGTAATGTTTGATCTTCTTGGTAATTTGAGTAATGTCAATTTGTTAAGTTATGATAGAAATATTTGATTTTCTTGTTAATATAAGTAATGACAATTAGTTAAGTTATGTAGGTAATATTTTGTTTTCTTGGTAATTTGAGTAATGTTAATTCCATTAGTAATATCGATTTTGTTTGAAGTAATTTTGATTTGTGTACATGTACAGCGCTTTGAAACTTTTGTCACAAGCGCTATATAAATTTGTCATATTATTATTATTATTATGTATTGAATTGTATACTGATTGTGGTGTGACAGATGGTGTATACGTGCAAAAAAAGAAAACATTGCCCGACCTTGATAATATTAGAGTTTCGATTATAATTATTTTAAAAATGAAAAGTATATTGCAGATTCGAACTGTAGAAATAATGAGTTCACAAGAAAATGGTTTCAATTCAGGAATTTGTTTATATAAAAAGTTGTTTTTCTGAATTTTTTTTCTTCTATTTTATTTTTTATTTTTTAATCATTAGCAGTGGTCACAACAAAGTAGTTGTATATAGCCCAATAATCAAAGGATAATGATTGTTTCTTCCATGTTTGTTGTTCATGAATATCAGAAATCCATTATTGAAAATATGTATGTCTTCTCGACAATTCAACAAATATTGGTGTCTTGAGTAGTCAATGTTATTTATGTTATAAATATGAATTACCTTGAATATATGTTTGTTTGTTTGTTGCAAATGAAAATCAATAAAATCCCAGTGGAGGGAAAAAGTATGAAAAGAAAGAGAAAAAGCTTGATAATTCACTCGCGGCGAGTATAGGCCTCTTGCAGTGACATATGAAAAGGGAATTTACTAAACAATGAACTTAATTTGAATGGTCGATTACCTTTTCAGTCATTTCCTATTCTCTTAATTATCAAAGTATTTGTTAAATCACAGAAACAATTCGCCCATGTATACGAACAAGAAAAGGTGTTTTTTGCATCATGTAGGCTTAATTCATCATCCACCGACCTTCATGTTCTGACCTTACTTGAATTGTACACAGTCTGTTATTATATTGTTGTTATTATTACCATCATTGCCATCATCATCATCATCATTACCTGCTTGACTAAATTCCATCTTAAATTTACTCCGCCGCCCCCCCCCCCCACTCAGTGTTATTTAGTATACGCGTACTTGTTCCCTCCCTTTGAAGGCTATCTCAGGACTGCCAACATTTCTGAACCAACCTTTCGTGGGCTTTTCCTGCCTTGGAGACCTCCTAAATCCGGAACATGCCCAATGTACCCCCTTAACTATGATATTCAAGATATTGTATAACTTGTGGTGTTCCATTATTATATTTCTTATAATAACTACTCAATTTCAAAACTACAGGGCTATTTGATGATTTGGCAATATCATGTATTAATGTACAGGAGCTTCGGGCAGTTGCGTATAACAACAGGTACAAGTCATGCCTCCCCCATCAAATTGAAGGAAAAAAAGTGAGAGCGAGGGAAAGATGAAGGAAATGAAAAAGAACGAGAGATAATTATAAGGAGATACGCTTCAAAGATAATATTATTATTTTGTGAATAAGTCTAATAAGTCTTAAATCTCTATAGTAAGCAGTGGCGAATATAACAGGTAAATTTAACCCTTTTTGGCTCAAGGGGGAGGGGGTTGGGTGTTGAGTAAACAAAAAAGTGCAGGCTACCCTCCTCCCCCCCCCCTCCTCCCGTTAAGCTAAAAAAAAATAGTGCTCCTAAATGAAATCTCTATATAATAAGCAGTGGTGGATCAAGGGGGCCCGGGGGCCCGGCCCCCTGGCCCCCAAAAACAAGTAAATCAAACCTTTTTTGCAAAAAAGAAAAGAAAACGAGCCCCAGTCCCTCTGGCTCAAGGGGGAGGGGGTTGGGTGATGAGTAAAAACAAAATTGCTCACTACCCCTCCCCCCCCCCCTGTTGAGAAAAAAAAAAAGTGCTCCTTACCCCCCCCCCCCCCCCCCCCCCCCCCCCCCCCCCCCCCCTTATTCGCCGCTATATATTTTCTCACGAATTGAGCCCCCTATTTGGCCCCCTCTCTTGGCGCCGGCTGGATCCGTCCCTGATAGTAAGAGGTACATCAAACGATTATCGAAAAATGATTTTGGAGTGAACAAAATTTGAGACTTTAGAATACGTTATTCCGCCCCCTTTTATTTTTGAGATACCTTTATTTTCTTTTTCTGTGAAAAGAAATAAAATTCTGGATTTTACTCCACCAGTATTCCCTTCCACTTTTCACCTTTCGCTGGTACCGACAGAAAGCGGTCCGGAGCTTGAGGGTTCCCGAACTTCATTTCTTGGGGGAAAAAGAAAGAATTTCCATCACCTTTTTAAATTCAGGGTTCGTTGTATAAAATCATTTTGTAAAACATAAATTTGGAAATAAAAGATCCGCAATTTTGTTCATTAATATTTATTTCGGGCGCCCTAAGGGAATTAAGAATGGATTTTATGTAAATGTATATTGAAAATATTTATTTATTTATTAACTTATTTATTTGTGACCTTTTTAGGACGTTAGCACATTATTACCAATAGTGGTAGTCTTTTATGAGGCCCTGTTTGGTAAAAACGAAACGGAAGAACAGTCATAAAGTCATAACAGTAACAAAACAAAACACAGAAGGAAATATGTTTATACAAGTTTATACAAATCCCGCTGTCATATACTTTGGCATCCTCATATTAAATGTGGACTTCTTTAACAAAATACTGTTGTATATTTGTTATTTCGTATTTCATGTAGCCTATATAGATGATAATCTAGTTTGTTAAATCAGGTGAAGTATATATGAACAGCACTCTTTTTGTTGTTGCTCAATATAGATCCACACTTGAGATTCCAAAAGTTTGTAATTATACATAATTATTTACAAGTCATTGCAGCATAATTATATTACAAGATTGATTCATAATTGATAACTAATAAACGTTGATTGGAATCAATATATTGCATTTGAATATACAAACTAAATACTAATTAACATATAATATATGTCATACTGATAACGAATTATGTCATTCATTCAATTTGGAAACTTTATGACATCCCACATTTTGAGAAATATATGAAACAAAGTCCATCAAAATAAGAATGGATATAAATACAAAATGTAAAGTTGTATTTTAAACGTGAAACGAATCAATGGTGTGATTTGCACAAGAGAAATTACTTGTTTATCATCATTATCATCGGGTCATCATCATTACTAGTTATCAAGAGTCATTCAGTTTCCAAATTGACACTCCTGAATATAGTTGTAAGGAGTTGAATGAAAGAGATGACACGTAGTTTTTTTTTTTTTTTTTTGGGGGGGGGCTGTTAGGCCTAATATGATTGTATTTTTATCCCTTTTCAAACCGTTTGAATATAAAATATAGACACGTTTTGTGTGTTCATGGTTACAAATAACACAATTAATGTAGGCCTAATTTGATAAAGTCTGTTGATTTTATGTTGCTAAATACCTGGGGCCTCTTAGGCCCGGTTCAGTAAAAGGGGTTTGAGAATGCATGGTATTAGCATGTCTCATGATGTACCGTAGTGCTATATCGCCATCTTTTGATTCCAACAAGCGCATGTTTTTCCGAGGCCAGCTAGCACAGCTGACCGAATTGCACGTACACACTACCAGTATACGGTATTTCCGTGCATATTACCCGAGCATGCATGCCTAGAGCGGAGCGGCGACCCCGTACACTCGGACGATCCATCCAGGTCACGTTGCTCAGCTCAGATCAGCTAGTCACATAATTTTCTGTGACCGACGAGCAGTCGATGCGGAAATCTTGAATTGGGGCACTTCTTTTCTAGATATTGACCATCAACATGGCCCAAAGTGACCATGAGAAGAGGAAGCAGATTAGCGTGCGTGGTATCGCCGGTATCGAGGATGTTTCCAACTTCAAGGCGAGTTTTAATCGGCATCTTCACTACACCTTGGTGAAGGATAGAAATGTCGCTACTCAACGCGACTACTACATCGCCCTGGCCCACTCGGTTCGTGATCATCTTGTTGGCCGTTGGATCCGCACCCAGCAGTATTACTATGAAACTGATCCAAAGGTAAATATTAAAACCAGCAAGCTAACAGAGGTAGCTAGTATTAATTTGTCCATGCCCGCATGTGCACACCTTCTGTGGGCGGAGGTGGAATTGGAAAGTAGACAACTTTATAAAGTTCAACTTGATGGAACTTTTGTTTTGAAGAATTGAAAATGAATTGGAGCATTATTAATTATTGAGTGCTGATCTGATTGCGATGTGAATGAGTACAGTAGTTCCCTATTTTACTATAATCACAATGCAGGGTAGAACTTGTAATATGGAGACTCACACAATGATGATAATTGTAAATATTGAAAGCATGTGGAAACATCTGAACTAAAAAATCCTGTTTGTAATTGTAATGGTTGCATTTGTGCAACTAGATAAAAGTTGATGTTAAAATTGTTTATAGTAGATCATTATACTATACAGAAATGAACCTTGTGCACCAGGGCAGGGGCGACGTCCTGCAATAGGTGAGTGCATGTTTGAAATATGTACAGTATGAGGGAAGAAAGTTCCCTCAAATGAAACTTCCATCGGCACCACTCATCTGTAGCCTATCTACAAAGGAGAAAATCTGTAAGACCCTTAGCTCGACTTCACTTAGACTACATTGTAGATCTACACATCAGCACAGTATGAGTCTCTAGACTCTATTCCATACAATGTAGAACAGCCAAGAACTGGAAAGACTCCAAAATGCTGCAGCAAGGTTTGCTACCTGAACCTATGGGAAAGACACCAGCGTTACTTCCCTGAAGGAGTCCCTTGCAGAGCTACCAAGTGTCACGCATTAGGCGTGACCTTACGCACTTCGAGGGTCTGAAAATGCTCTCACGCTCGACGCGCGCGTTAGATTTAAAAAAACGCTATACCTTATACGTGTGTTATACCCTCGCACGTGCGGAATAATGAAAATGTCACGCATTGCGGATCTTTGAACTTGGCGTCTCTGCCCTTGATCGGCTGCTACTACAAGATACTGAATGGCACCCTAGACATACAGTAGCTTAAATCAGAAATAAATCTCATCAAAGTGTGGAAGAGGAAGAAGAGGCCATGAAAACCAATTCTAAACCTCTTTTACAGGAACAGATGTCTACGCAAACTCCTTCTTTCCAAGAACAACAAGGAAGTGGAATAACCATATCTCAAAACTCAATTGCTGCCTTCAAGTCAGCTTTTGCAGCCCCACTTTGATAGTCCCCACCCTAAAATTAATGACCACACCGCAAGTTCACCTCCAGTGCAAATTCCCTCACAAAAAATTTATGAGGTTCACTGTCTAAGATCCAAGAGCTTTCATAGAAGCAATAACTGTTTGTTTAAAGAACTGTTAAATGTGTACATTTACAATTGTGCTCATTATGTTTTCTTATTTGTATTTTAACTTAAGCTATATTATATTTGTTTTTACTTTATGAAGTGTCATTCAGACATGACTACAGTTAGTAGACAGCCCCCCCCCCCCAACACAAAAAACAAAGAACAAGAAGAAATAAAAGAGAATTTGTTTGGCAAAATTAAATGCTTTTTTTTCTTCTTTTTTTTTGTAAATTGAGGGTGACAAAAACTTTATTTGTGTACCGTAAATCTCCGTGTATAAGTGTATTTTGAAGACGAAACGAAAACACGCGGGGAAGGACATTCATTTAACATCGAGGTGCAGTTGATGGCGCAGATTTGTGCTTGTGAACTTGTTACAAATAAAAGTAACAATGTCGTTTTGTAGAAGAATGTGTAAGATCATTAATGCAAATTAAAAACAGTAGAGTACCTAGGATAAAACCTTGTGGTACGCCAAAGCAAAATTGGAGGAATTATTATTATAAACTACATATTGAGATCTGTTAGAAAGATTACTTTTAAACCAAGATGACAGACAAATTTGAGTGTTGTTTTAGTTTCTGAGTGGTGGTTCAACACACCGATTACTGAGCTGGGAGAAATTGCCAGGCATAGCGCCATAAATCGAAACAATTTTTTTTTTTTTTTTTTTTTTTTGTGTGTGTACCTTTCAATTTTTTTTTGCGGCAAAAAAGTGTGCCTTATACACAGAGATTTACGGTACCTACATGTAGGCACAAAAAAGGTTCCTATGCATACCCTGTGTCAGTGATGTGTGTTTTCTGACACGTACAACTTTGTGATGCACTCTGATATCTCATTATTTCAATGGCATTTCGGGGGGAGGTGGTTTATCTTGTCATGTCTGAACGAGCCTGTCACAAGTGGCTCTGACCTTTGTACTAAATGTGTGTCAAATGAGAAAGGGGCTTTGTTATGACATTGCAAATAATAGTTTTGAAATAAAAATGCTGACTAATTATTGTCAACATCCTGGTATCAGGATTGCAGTACAGTTTTAGCACAGGCATGTTCCATAAGATGTTTTGGAGAGCAATGTGAATACAGCAGATATGTGTCACTAGACTACACTCATTGTCATACGGTCACTGACTTTAATATAGGGTGTTGCATGCAGGGATTTGTATGGTGAAAATCTCAAAAACTAGTGAAAGGGCCGAAATGTTGTAGACAATCTTACTTGAAAATTTTCCTAAAGGTATGGGAGCATAATATTCATTATTAGCAAATTTATAGTCATATTTTTCTTCAAATTTTAATTTCCAACAGGCAGTGTGATGTGTACAAAATGGGGGCTTTAATTTTCACTCAAAGAGAGAATCCTCCCCCTCCCCCTCCCCCAAGTCTTTTGATCTGAAATTTTGCACAAACTTTCATAACCTCATGTTGCTGCTACAGATGAATTTTAAGATCTTTGAGGGCTTGCAAATCACTGATAGGGACTCCAATGTTAATGTTCTAGGTTGTTCTAATGTAGACTGTGTGGGCAGGGTCTAATGTCAAGCACTGTCTGATGATAAAGCAGGCAGACAATCCTGAGCTCTGATGTTGATTTAGAGGTGCTCAAGATTGCATAGATTATCATATAGTCATATACCACAGATTACCAAATTATCTTTTTCTTTGTCAAAAGATGTTAAAAACAACTGTCCATCACAAGTACCAGTATGTTATGTATGGTGTTGCCTAGACCGAAAACTTCAGTCTCTCTAATCTTCGGTTGTTCCACTGAGACTTCGTCTGGCTCCACTAGACCTCCGATTATAGAGACTGAAGATTGTCCTATCGGGACTGTACGGAACCAATGGTTCGGTTCGGCAGGACCGCGATGAATGAGATATGCTACGAGATTTTCACTCTTTACATCCTCACACATGCTGCAATATGACAATAATTAGAGTCTAATTAAAAATAACATATAAATAGCTTATTTGACTTACGATAGCTTGCTCATTTAGATCCTAAATTAATGATTAATCCGAGAAAGTCTCGTCGTCAACATTATCCGTCTTGGTTTTAGTTGATGAATATTAATTTTTTCTTTTCGAACGTCCAATAGCTACCGTAGCTACATACGAGTCGGCCAACGAACTCCCACGAAACGAATGCTCTGATTGGCCATTGGCTATCTTTTGGTAGGTGGACCCGGAAATATATCGGCCGCCGGGTAATATTTCGAATGCATGAACGTACTGCTTCGCGGTTCTGAGGTACAAATTGGATAATTCATATAAGTAAGTCCGTAAATTATTTATTTAATATTAAGTTATCAAATTTTAATAACTGTAGTTAGGACAAATGACATATCGACCTAATTTACATCTGATTTAGAAATCAGGAAATTAGATCTAGACCTAAATAAAGAAAATCGGGGGAGAAATGTCGGTAACGAAAAGCTGTTACGCTGTGGCTCTAATTTACCCCCACGGTACGAGATCTCTGGGTTGCCATCTGTATTGGGGAATGACAACAAATGTCAGTTTTATTAAAGAAATGACCCAAATCAGATGGTTATTGCTGTCTAGGTGTTGCCATGTTCATGACTTCATGTACATGTACATGTACATACAGAACAAACTTTTTTTGTTTTTTGTTGTACAGGTGCTATTAAGTGTTGTACAGGGTGAACATCACTATAGTGCCCCTCCTCCCGTCCCATGTCTTTCTCCTCATCTAGAGTCCATAACACTTATCTTCATCACTTGATAATCATACTTTATATTGTACATGTAATTCCTCTTTCCGGTCGTTGATTTAGCAACGACAAAAATAGCACAGCATGAAATGTATTCATTCTGATAAATCGATTCCCTTTACATGTATAGGTAGGCCTTCTGATTAACATTAATTTCTACATATATATATTACATTCTATTTACATATACATGTACAGTACATGTAGCTCATCCAGCCCTCTATGGCCTGGTAAGCTGTTGTCTATGAGTAGTTACAGGGGAAGTCTACCCTGGTATTTCATTGGTTTTAAAAAGCAGAAAAATAAGAGAAACAGTTTAGTGAAAGTTTAATGTATGAGCTAAATCTGATCAAAATATTAAAGTAATGATTTTTGTAAGTTTTAATCATTTAAGCACCAATTAAAAACGTTGTGACTTGTGACATATCATGTGACGTTCGCTGTCATTTTCTCTGTACATGAAATTTCATGAATTTTCATTTTCTTACATGTTTATAAAGTAATAGATTTGTTTCTAGATGTTTCTTATAGAGGTTGATACGGTGCATGTATGATTGACAATTTTCTTTAGAGACAATAGAAATATGTGGATTTTTAGTACATTGCAAATGGGAGGGGACCTCTTAAGATATGTCACAGAGTTGCCAATTTGTGTTTGATCAACTGCAACTCAAAAATTCATAACTCTGTTATTTTTAGAAGAATTTTGCTTAAACTTTCACTGACCTGTTCTCTCAAACAAACAAATTCTTCTATTAAAAGCCATGTTAGTTTCAGGGTGAACTTTCCCATTGAAGAGAATGTTTTTTAGTTTTCAGTCTCAGGACTCTAGTGAATTTGCAATTATGGGATGTCTTGTGGGGGAAGGGGGGGGGGGGGCGATGGGGTGACGGGGAGGGGTTAACATGTAGTATTTAGTCTTTCAACATGTGGTGGTTAAATTTAATGGAAATTCATGCTTTTGGCTTGTTTGAAAGGTAAATAGGTTAGAGACTTGACCTGCATGATCCTTGTGTGTCATGTGTGATAATTTAAAAGGTTTATACACTGTACAAGGTTTAGGTGATGCAAATTTGGTACTGATACTGAACTGTGAACAGGTTTTGATTTAATTGTATCTACTTTATTGTACGTTCTCTCAGGCTTTTCAATTCTTTATTTGTTGTGTATGCATTGTCTGACAGTATACCTACATGTTATGCTTTAATACTCCTTATTGTAGGATTTTTAGTTAGAGCTGGCTATAGTACAGTTGTAGGGCTATTTGACCCTGTGAGTACTGTGAATTACACAAATTTATTTACACAATTTCTAACGCCTTTTACTTTTTAAATTTATTCTATTCAAATATTCCAATCTGTCTATTGTACAGACCCTGAGAGTTCTACATGTACACAGTATGAATTACACACTTTTGTTTATATAATTTTGCAGACTTTTTGTGTGTTTAATATGTTCTGTTGAGATATTCCATTCTTTTTATTGTACTGAGTAGAGAGAAAATACAATCAACCATCTTCAATAAATTTACATAGTGCACCATGTGGGCCGAGTAGCATATCGGTTGCATTGCTCTATCAGTGGGTAGAATTTGAATGTGGCGCAGGGTACAGCCCATGTGTGTATACCATCACAACAAGTTGGATGCATGCATAATCACAGTTCATTCTGTTACACTAGACTACTAGTACTAGACTGCATGTATACGTGCAAGCTTGAAGATGACAAATGGCCGATCTATAGGACGTGTAGCCTCATTCAAGTCACCTTTGGTTACATATTCGCTTTCCCCCAGTATATGTACAAAAGTGTATTAATCCGGGATAACCTTACGTCTATGCACTATTTTTAAATTACATGTACAGTACATGCAAAGGTGAAACGACTGACCAGTTTGAAATTATAATTGATTATTGATGCCCACTTTGTCCAATCAAATTTACATCTTAATAAAATGGTGTACCATGATGCATTTTAGGTTCTAATTTTGACTCCACTTACACTTGTATCCAGAAAGCAATCAGTGATATGAAGCGGAAAGCTGTTGTTTTGGGGATAATGGGGCCCCATCGATGCATTTTACATTTGTGTACATTTCAAGTCCATCTCCTTACATGTATGCACGTAAGGTCTACGTTTCCTTGTTGCTTTTTTATAAGTATGTGATTGGTATGAGCTTTCTTAGCTAGTTTGTAAACATTTGAAAATATACTGAAAGTAGTAAAAGATGTGTAAAGTACAATAGAGAGAACGTAATTAGGATTTAAACATATTCATTCTTAACGAGATATCAATAGAACCTAATAGAAATATGAGAAGAATAATTGTATTAAATGAAGATTTTCTTTTGTTCTCTTGTCAGCGTGTGTACTACCTCTCTCTGGAATACTATATTGGACGTACCCTAACCAATACCATGGTCAACCTTGGCATCCAGAGTCAATGTGACGAGGCCCTTTACCAGGTAAGTCTATCACCTCAAAGTCAAACCAAGTCAGAAATGTATGCTCATTTTAATGATTTTGTCAGAATCTGTAAGATTAAAGAATGTGTAATGACTATCACTAATGAGGAATGTTTTATATGATTAGATAATAATATGCACAGGCAATGTAAAAGGAATTAAGTTTTTTTAAGGAAAATGTCCTGATTTTATCAATATATTCAACAATTATCATAAGCATTTCATTGCTGATTACAATTTTTTTTATTTTGGATAATTTAAAAGAGTCATTCAAGGACTCGTAGCAATAAGAGCAAGATAAGAATTGATTTTTGAACCTCAATGAGATTCTTGACTTTTTGTCCATAGACCCAACATTTTTACCAATTAATGAGATTTGGATCGCGATACAAATAAAATCATACTGATGTGCATTTTGTTGTGAATACTCTCCTGCATTCTGTGATGCTGCACATGGGTTAGTGGAAATTAAATAGAAACATTAATATCATATATCCCAGATGTGAAAGGGGCAAAAACAGTGAGAATTCCATTGCATGGTTTAAACCTCACCTTTTCTTGTGTGTGCATGGGCCTAATGTCCAAGGTAGGGTTGTTTCTCACCAGAGGAGAAAACTGACCAAATCTTGTTGGTGCACCTATCCTGATTGAAAGGAAAACAACTCAATATGGTAGTGTTCCTTGCATCGACTCGAGTGAGAGCGTCCTTCACTAGTAGAGTGGACCCTTTCCACTGACTTAGAGATTTAGTTACGCTTATCCCCTTACGTGTTCAACTGACTGCCCTTTTACCCATGCATTGATTACTGGGTGTCGGCAGACCTAGACGTGATGATGTATAACTTTGCTAGTTCACATAGTGTCATTAACATTCATGTTCCAAGTTCTTGTACATGTAGATAATGTTTTTAATTATTGTACATGTTAGTAATTAATTTTTCAAGATTTAACAAGAATAGTTTGTGTAAATTTATATTTTGATAGTCATATACAATCCAAACCCCAAGGTTTATATAATACCCCCAGGGGAGAAAAAAAGTTGTATGGAGTTTTATCATGCAAAGCTTGGAAAACATAATGATGGTTTAAACCTAGAAATGTTTTGATTAAATGATGAAGTAATAATAATTTCTTTATTAAAGCTATTGTCCTTGTAGAAGAATTAAGTATCAAATTAATAACATTAGAGTGACTGGAAAATGCTTACCGGACTCGAATTTGACTACAGGTAGATTAGTTTTGTTGATGTTTATTTTATCTATGTCCAGTAGACGAAATGATACATGCATCTCCTCTCACCTCTGTTCGCCTTAGGCTCTTTTGTTTGCTTTTTTGTTGCTTATACTCTATGGTTCTGCGCCTGTTGCCTTGAAAACAGGCACGTTTCTTTTTTTGTGCACTCTTTTGTGCACTCTTTTGTGCATTGTTTAATGCTGTTGAACTTGGCAGTATGATAACCTTAAGAAGCTGTAAGGGCCAAAATTTGTTACACCATTAGGTTGTCATCAAATTTTTTAATTTTGTGTTGAGTCTCTATATAATTATATAAGAAAAGATGTTGTTCTGCAACAGAGGATATTAAAAAAGAGACACACAAAACAAATTAAAAGGCTCTGTTAAATGAAAAATTGCATTGCAACCATAATATCTTCATGCTTGCATTAAATGCATTCTGTTCCTTTGGTAAGAACTCTTTTGACAGGTCAGTAACTGTGAATTCATATCATCGATCTGACATACATGTATTATGAAGCTAGATTGATGCAGTGATCTTTGGTTTCTGACTGCCAGCTTGCGTGCTCTTGAGTCTCTGCCCTAAGTCAGAAAGAGTGATCTGTGGAGCACTGCAGATAATACGCATTCCATGGAGACCCGCGCAGTATAACCAATTTAATCTCCAATCGCATTCCCCTCACCCTTTCTTATTTTCATCCTAATCGCAGAGCTCTTCAACCCATTTCCTTGTGTGTCGGTTCCTCGATCATAACTTGGCTACACTGTACGTAGCCACATACATGTACATTGTATGTGCATGCCCTGTACAGTATGCACGTTCATACATGTTCGTTCCCTGAATACCGTCATTTAAAATGTGACTGTGTGTTCTTGTTCCTCGCTTGTTAGCAACTTGATATGTTTCCAATGCGATCAGGGGAGGCATTGCGGGTGACTCGATTATTCACTAATGAAATCTTCCAGTCAAACATCGATGGTGCATTGTCTTTGCAGTCCATACCCTTCCTAACTTTCCAATTTTTTTATTTGTTAAATCACTTGGAATTTATGCAGAATGTGTTTTGTTTTAATACCTGTTGTATTTATATTTGATGGTTATGTTCTATTTGGTTTTTTAATTTCTAAATGTGTATTTAGAAGGAAAATATGGAAGCACAATTAAAGTGCTAGTTTTATTAGATTCATGTAGAATCTTTAAAACTGAAATTTATACATTTATGATAAATGTACATGTAGGGGAGAAAGGAGATCAGAATTAATTCCACCAATCACATTCATTCAATGATTGAATACTTTCCGTTAGTCAGGCAGCAGTGTTTGTTATGAAGATGGGTTTTGAATTAAAGAAATTGTTTACGTGTTGGCCATACTAAGTCCTAAATAAGATATACAGAAGATTTGTTCAAAGTTCATTTTAATAGTACTTAGCAACTGGACTTTGATATTTTGGGGCATTTTTGTAAGGCAAAGTAATTGACTATTTTACATTTCACTTATAAAGCAACAAAGGATAGTGTGCATATTGATTGCTCAGATTTAAGGCAGTTATGTTTTTTAAAATATTATTTATTGATTTTCTTCGGGGAGGGGGGATACATGTTAAAAATAAACAGTTATGAAATAGGTTTCACTTGCAAATACTTGTATTCAGCAGGTTAGAAAAATATATACATGACTGATGATTGTGGAAGAATGGTATATAAACATACATGTATGTACATGTACATGTGAGCAAGAGACTGAGAGAGGTACAGAGAGAGAGCGGGGGAGGGGCAGACTTGGAGATTGTAGGCCCAAAATGGTTTACGGTCAATATTTGCTATCCTTTTTTTTGTATTGTTCAACAATTGTACTTATTATATACTAAAATTATGTCTAGTCATGAGCATTAGTGCAAAGTCTGACTGACTTGTACACTAATAGATGCATAGTCTGCATGTAGATGTCAAGATACATGTAGTTACATGTACAGTGTACATATTTGTACATTGTGCAAAATGAACAATATTCTGGAAAGATGATATGAAGTGATTTAAAAAAAAAAAAGAGACCTATGCAGAGACATGAATCTTTATGAAGTATTTAAACTAAATTGTCATTACAAATCCAAGTACAGATATATACATTTTATATGTATAGAACAAGTTAACATACATGTAGCAACTTTAAAGATTTCTTGTAAAACCTAATTTTTTTTGGTGTATGCTGTTCACTAATAGGCTTTTACCATATTTTTCAGTGAATAGAACTTTCTCTTGTTGTTGTTTTGTTTCTCAGCTTGGTCTGAACATAGAGGAGTTGGAGGAGCTAGAGGATGATGCCGGTCTGGGAAACGGTGGTTTGGGCAGGCTCGCAGGTTAGTACAATACGTAGCACTAAGCACATTTACATGTATACAGTATGAAACATAAAAGCATTTTTTCCCCTTTTTTTTTTCTTCTGAAAATCTTTGAACAATAATACAATATTACAGAATCAAAGACTTATATAACAATAATCAAATAATAAAACAGTTGGATAGTCCATTTCAGAGCAATTAACCTAAATGGCTCTGTTCTTCCATGGAGTCCAATATTAAACATAATAATAATACATGTATAATAAGTAACGATATAACAAAATAGTAAGGCTGAAGTAAAATACACTGTACATGCACTAAACTAAAGTAAACTAAACAAAAATCATTAAACTTGTCCCTGAAAACATGCATATTGTTTTACCTGAGTTCACAGAGAGTCTACTTGCATTCATCCAAGATTGAAGATTATCTAACTCTTTGTTTAAAACTGATTGAATCACAATCACATCTACATCTTTGTGGTAATAATACATAGCCATGTCATCGGCATAAAAGTGCAACTTGCATTTTGTGAAAGACTTGGGTAGATCGTTAATAAAAACTAAAAATAGTAGTGGCCCCAGAATTGAGCCCTGAGGTACTCTGTAATCAAGGGTCAATTCATCAGACAATGTTTGTCCTGTGGATGTTCTAATGCATCTTTTCATTAGATAATTCTGAAACCATTTTAATGAGGTTCCTTGGACTCCAATATCAGAAAGTTTTTTAATGAGAATTTAGTGATTGACAGTATCGAATGCCTTGTGATGAGATCCACCACAATTGTTGATTAAAAATGATGTAATAAAGGAATAGAGACATTTTAATCAGTTGATAATACTTTTGATAGAATTGCATTTTGAGAGAAACTGGCTCAATATAATCCTTAACTGTTCATCACACAGTACTACATGTAGATTAGTGGTTTGATTCAGCAAACTGTAAACAAAATGTTGAAACTACTTTTCTATTGTTTGACCAGGAGCTGTACAATTCCTTGACATATGGTTGAGACAACTAGCTAACTTTTCTTTGCTCATTTTACATTTTCCACTGAAACCATTAAGCAGAAAATTTGTATAGTATTGAATAGTCAGTCTGAATGTCGACTTGATACATGTAATTCTATAATTATATTGCAAGACAAGAATAGACCTGAAAATATTACAAAGGTGTAAACATTAATGATGGTAATTTACTTGCATTTGCCCCACATTAACCAATGCCATGCCAGATTTTGTTAAACAATCCCTACATCTGAGCTGGTCCTTTAAACGTACGATAACTTGATGCTCAATGCCAGCAAATGTCTCAATTATGTAGGCCTAGATACGTGCAGCCCTGTTTACACTTTAATGTCTGTTTACCATTTGGATACATACTGTACACGTCCTTGAAGGTGGGAGAGCATTGTGTGAACTTGACAGTTAGAAAGCAGTGCATTTGATATTGACCTGAGGAAAGGCCAAGAGCATTTCTTGTGTTACACTCTTCTTTATTGTTCATGCAGAAAATATTCTTCATAGTAGAATGTGAATTTAAATTGAATTCCTTTGTGTCGATTTCAGCTACAATCATACCATGGACCCTATCACCACATACATGTTCATACATACATAGGCACACTGGTTATTCTTTAATATTGGGAATGTATTTCTAGCTTTGTTCACATTGAGGCTCACATGTTGGGGTTTGCATAAAATTTCAATTTGATTGCTGTGTTATGAAAAGGCTTGCCACCAACATAGGTTGAATGCACGTAGGCAGTCCATTCATACTGACCTGTACAATAAAATGTCAGTCCAGAGTCCAGACGCCCTGTGAAAATATGCTAGTGTTGAATCCTGGGCATGACCTTTAAGTGGTAGTTTTGTTGGGAAAGGAATCTTTAATTGTAAAACTGGGGTGACTTTGTTACTCTGTAATTGATACAAAAACAATATTTTTGAGTCCCTGACCTAGTTTATATATGAATTATACAAATATACATGTAATGTATAAACACAGGGTTCTGTAGTCAATGTCCTGTGTGTTATGAATATGTACAAGTGAGCAAAACAAGCCTTCTGAAGGGAGAGAGTGCGTCAAGTTTCTCACTCGGAAAGGTCAACAATGTCTAGGCATGCATATCCATTTACATTTCTGCAGGAGTAATTGAAATGGACTCTTTCATTATTTGACAACTACAGTGTACATTTTGTAGATTAATGTTCTTGCCTTAAAGCCAATATATGACAAACATGTTTGTTTGGAATATTAAATGACTTTCTGTCATTTCAAATTTCAAGCATTTCGTTCCTGTTTTCACGAAGTGACGGTAGTGAGGAAAATCCGCACGCAAATTGCATGGGATTATCATTCACTACCGTCACTTCGTGAAAATAGGGACGATTTGTTTAAATAGGTGCTGCAATGTATGCATTGAAAGACAAGTACCTGTATACACATGTAAATATTGAGGTTCATTTGAAGAAAAAAAAAAATTACCAAGTGAATATACAATACTTGCTCTGCTTTTGTAACCATACAGTATGTCTGGGTGATGCAAGTAATTCTGCCAACGGAAGAACAATTGTCTATCAGTAGTTATAGGTACATCTATTACAAATAACTGATTATGGTATATGGTATTCTAGGTGGTTCTATAAATGACTCAATATTAAACAAGAAACCTAAGAAATAAAGATAATATATTTTTGTAACAGCATCATATTTCACACAATTACAGATTGAGTTTCTTATACATGTTCAGGTCATTGCCCTGTACTGCAATGTAGTACTTCAATCCTTGTGACCTACTGTAGACTTACAGAGAGATTGACAGGTATAAACATTTAATTATATGTTTGTTTATTTAGCCTGCTTCCTTGATTCCATGGCGACACTTGGCTTGGCTGCCTATGGATATGGTATACGCTACGACTATGGTATCTTCACTCAGAAAATCAAAGATGGCCATCAGGTTAGTGTGTACAGCCTTTGACATTGACGATTGAGCTACTGTAAACGTGTTAATACTTGCACTTGCAGTGCTTTAATTTTCACGGTTTTCGCGCTAAAGTCGGTGTCCGCGAATATATAAGCATGACTTCTTATGCATGTTTTGAGTAGGCTGAATTGCGTGTAACGAAAATTTAAGAACCCGCGAATATGTTTTGTGGTCACTTAGCGTGAACATTTAATCTCACGAAAATAACAGTGTTTACAGTAGTCAATACTTTCCTTTTATACTTACATGTATACTTTACAAGAAGACCAACATTTACTTCACATCTGAAAATGTTGAAATTAATTATTTTATTCTTCAACTGAAATATAGTCAATGTACAACTATAACCTTTGAAAGTCACAGGAACATTATTTTGTGGATAGAAATTTAGTATTTTTATTTAAAAATATATTAGGATTATCTTGATATGAAAAGAAGTAGCCATATGCAATTTTAGTTGAGACATTCAACCCATTGATTTTCTAAAGAAATATGGAATGAGGCTGATCCTGGTGATATTCTCTTCTCTTTGTCTATTACAAAACAATTCTTTTAAAAGATGCTATTGTCCACCACTTTGCCAACACACAATGTAGCTGCATGTGTAGCACATGTTTTTAAGTAGACTATTGTTGAATACGAATCACTGGATTTATTGATCATGTTCAAGTTCCATCCCTTTGATTGCAGGTTGAGGAACCAGATGACTGGTTGAGATATGGCAACCCATGGGAGAAGGCAAGACCGGAGTACACCATACCAGTCAACTTCTATGGCCGTACTGAGAAGAAAGATGGCAAGGTCAAATGGGTTGACACTAAGGTAAGGTCATTGACACACATCCTAGGCCCTGTTGCATAAAACTTACCATTGATTGTAACTATGCCATCAATGGCAACTCCCATGGTAACAGGACTCAACAGCCAATCAAACTCGAGGTTTCCATGGTAGTTACCATTGGTGGTAAAGTTACCATCAATGGTAAGTTTTGTGCAATGGGCCCAGGTAGATTAGCATCGTTGTTTGACTTAGAATTTAGCACTGGCTTTATTTTTTGCAGAAGGTTTAACTTGTTTCCTATATTATTAGGGGTCTCCCCCATCTATTTGATTTTATGCTAATGCTAGATACAACTATCATGATTTAGAATAGTTTGGACTGAAGTAAGATGTTTTGTGGTAAGGCAAGCAAAGTAAACAGAGTTTGATATTCTTTATCAGACACTATTGAAAACACAATGCACCATTCTTGGATGTAAATTTCCAAAAAAATATAAGGGGTATTTGATACAATTGTATATGAATGCAAACGTAGCCATTGTGTTGTGACCAATTTTCAGCCTTAATACGACCTTGTACAAGTGTTAGATCAAATGTTTGCAGTACTGTTACCCAGCAAATTTCAAAAGAATTGGAAAGAAATTGTTGAACAAGGGCTTCAGGAAGACAATGTAGCATGTAAAGGATCTCTTGAAAGTTTCATGAACGAAAAGTCTGTCTTTTACAATACAGGTTGTGTTTGCCATGCCGTATGACAGCCCTACCCCTGGATACAAGAATAACACAGTGAACACCATGAGACTGTGGTCTGCCAAGTCCAAGAACAGCTTTGATCTCACTTTCTGTAAGTCCATATCTTCAAACAAAATTATGTAGGCATTGAAGTGCCTCTCCTACAACTTAAAAACTCTCACCCCTTCCTTTTTGTTAATGATAACTTGCAATCTTCATATAGATTGTGGTTCCTTCAGTATTTTTCACTTTGATATATTTCTTAAAAGTTACTCAATGTCATTACCATTACATACATATTTTGAAAAAATTCAGTTCTCTCAGTAATAGAGTTCAGGAGATAAATAAAAACTTGTGTTAACATGAAATATGCTAAAGATGTTTGATATAGGTAGAAATCATGTTATTTATTTTGGGGCAAATTAAAAGTAAATTATAGTTCTAATATTTGCATGAATGGAGAGGTGGTTTAGTGAATTTTATTAAATGGATAAAAAAAAAAGTGACAGGGTCCTGAGCATGGCAGGATAGTAATGTCCTTTAGCAAGATTTTGATGAAAATGATCAACCCCGATCCCCCCCCCCCCCTAGGTGTAGTAAATAGGTACCTGGTAGGAAGGAAATCCTTGAATGTTGTAAACAATAAAATCAGTAGCTTTGCTGGAGCCTGTGGTAATATTTGACACCCTTGCATGGAGGATATGAGCGCTACACAAGAAGCCAATACTATTATCATTATGATTTTGTTGTTCCTGTTTTGGAATATAATTGTTAGTTTTAACCTTTTCTTTTGTTTTTTTCTCTATGCAGTCAATGATGGTGACTATGTGCAGGCTGTACTGGACAGGAATGTAGCAGAGAACATCACCCGTGTACTCTATCCTAATGACAATGTAAGTCACTTATCTTGAAGATCCTCACACCATTTACAAGATAAATATTCATGCCGAAGCAATAATTTGAAAATCAGAAAACCTGCAAGGATGAATGAATATGCCTTATTTTATTCAAGAACCTACAGAAGATCGTCTTTTAAATACAGCGCCAATTCATGACATGGTCATTTCTTTTTCAAAGTGACAGAATACACTCCCTTCCATTCTCGTATCCTTAAAAAGTATAATCGTTTGTTAATTTTTATTTTGTCATTTTCACCTTTATGTAGCTCTGTTAGATTAAAACAGTCAGAACCCACATTATCTTTTACAAGCTTTTTGATCATCATTAGCAAATATTGTTGAATACTTAAGGCATAAAATTACATGTTCACTGCATTGATTGACATTGGTCTGTTGAATGCTGTTGTAACAGGTCTGTGAAGGTAAGGAGCTACGTCTGAAGCAGGAGTACTTCATGGTGACCGCATCTCTCCAGGACATCATCAGACGTTTCAAGTCTTCCAAGTTTGGCTGCAGGGATCCTGTCAGGACCACCTTTGATACCTTCCCAGATAAGGTATGTTCATGGATCCTGATAGGTGTCTCATTCACATGTATGCTGTGGTTAACGGCTGTAGTAAACGGCTGTGGTAAACGACTGTGGTAAACCGCTTTAGTTGACAGCAGCAGTTCTTTGTGTACTTTGTGTAATGAAATGGTAGCTGTGCCCAATTAGGGTTCTACATGTCCTTATCTGTGTGTTGTAAGATTAGAAATAACAAAATGTTGTGGGTAACTGCAGTATTTGTGAATGAGGCTTGAGAGTTTTTTCCTTATCCTATGTCATTTGTTAAAGGTAATTGAACAACTGCAAGCTATCACTAATGTAGATTGTACATGAATTTTGAAGGCCTAAATGCACTCTAAATGTAATATCAAGATGAATAGTCAAAAGTGCTTTGATGGCAATTGGCTTAGAATACCAGTAATTGACAGCTTGTATGCAGTAGATGGAAATTATTAGGACTTCATCTTTAGTAGTACTCATGAACTGAGACTTCATGTCACAGGTAGAATTCAGTGTTCATTTCAGCATCAGAAATAAGATATATTGACCTACAAGCAAATATATACTACAGACTAGGAAAAATACAGTACAAATTGGTCAAATGAATGGAATATGAGAGAGAAGTACCGTGTCAATTTGCAAAGTAAAGTTTATCATTTTGATCTGATTGATGTAGGCTGCTATTCAGCTGAATGACACCCACCCTGCCATGGCCATCCCTGAACTGATGAGGATCTTGATAGATGTTGAAGAAATGGAATGGGAGAAGGTGAGTCTTGGGGTATCTTAGGATAATTGTAACTCTATTGAGGTTTTTTGTGCAATGTCATGATGCACAGAGTAGCCACAGCTAAAGCTGAGGTCTTTAAAGTCAAACTGATATTTACATTGATAGTGATGATAATGATAACAACAATAACAATGCAATCATGAAACGGATATTGTGGCTCGGGTCAGGAAAAAATATCTGTCGATAGCCATAAGGGCCTTTACTCTGTGTTAAAGTATATGCCTGGCTCTCAACAGATGATATAATGTAGGAGACTATTGAAAAAAAAGGAGGAAAACTAATTTCAGCCCAAAATTTGGTCACTAACCCTGTCATAATTTGATCATGTGATAAAAGATTGTTATATTGACTAGAATAAACATCCAATGCACAGAAATTAAAGAAAATAGCAGTGATTTTGACAGTAGAATGATAAATGCTCCTAGCAGTGTTGTTTCTTATTCATTTCTACATTCCCTTTGTATTTGGACAGGCCTGGGACATCATTGTTCGTACCTTTGCCTACACCAATCATACCATCCTTCCTGAAGCCCTTGAGAGGTGGCCAGTAGGCCTCCTGGAGTATGTCCTACCACGTCATCTTGAGATCATCTATGAGATCAACATGAGGCATATGGAAGTAAGTTAGCAATTCAGCATGACTAATAATGAAGAAGTGGTATAGCATTGGTTCAAATATTGAGGGGGAGGGGCATCAGCATCTTGGTTAAAGGGAGGTGGGATTCACAACTAATTGGATATAATGTGGCTTAGGAAGGCTATTTAATATGGGGAAGGCATCGAATTTCATAAACTTTTATGTTCCCTTTTTCCCTCTCCCACTTTTTCTCCCTTCTCTCCTTTTCTCTCTTTCTTACCCTTCTTATTGCCGTTAAGTTTGGGAACACATCCTCTTCAGCTACATCACTGTAACAGAGAATTAATTGTGTGCCAGCAGGGGCATTGCTAATGTCTGTCTGCTAGGCATCCACAGAAGTAACATCAGGCGGACAAATGCCTTAAAAAATCTGCAGCAGCAAAATAAAATAGATTTCTTTTGTAAATGGATAGCAAGATGCAATGTAGGTGGGAGGGGGGGGGGGGGGGGGGGGAGTGTCAAAGTTTCTTCCATCAGCCCCTTTGTGTACTTACTTATTAATGCAAGGGTCACTCTGTGGCCTGGACCCACCCTCCTCAGAGGTCACCAAATATCGACGTCGACTCGACGCCTAAGCCTGACCCTGACCTATTTGTTGTTGTAGTGAAGTCCTAACGTTCGTTTTTCTTCATTGGGTGAAGCTTTACTATACAAATTGATGAAATGTGTGAAGCTTTGACAAGTAATTTGTTTTTTCTGGTGATGTGACATCGAATCCAATCGGTCGCCTTGTTTGTTCAGGTGATGTGACATCGAAGCCACTACCGGTCGCGTCGAAAATATGTTGAAATCATGTCGAAATCGTGCGTTTCAAAACAACTATTTAATTTTTATTCCGGTCACTCATGCACTCGCAGAGTGATCGTCCTGAGGTCACCGAACTTTTCTCCAGCGAAACTGATTTCGAGATTTCACGAGATCGTTTTCGAGTAGTCTACTAGTCTCCTACACATAACTAGTTGCGTGAGTATTCGCAGTATACGTGCCTGAAAGGCCAGCCTCAAGTCTGGAAACGAGACTAGTAGCCTACGAGCTGTCGGTATTGTACCCAGCATGCGCAGCGCAGATCGTGCCAAGTTTTGGCCCCAAGTTTTTGCGAGGTGAGTTGAAAAAAAATAGAAAGTTCAGAGTTTTCCGATCATTTTGAGACGGTACTACTCCGACCCTGTTTTACGATTGATTATTAACGAAATCTGTGCATAAAACTTAGCCTATATTTTCGCGAGATTTCAATGTTGACGTATTCCACAAAGGTATTACGCCACAGCAGTGCCGTGCGCTCGAGTCGAAGCCTGCAAATGGCCAGTATGGTGAAACAGTGGTGAAGCTTCAGACCGGCCGAAAACTTACAAAAGTGAAGCCTCACCTATGGAAAACTGACACAAGTGAAGCCTCATCTATGTAAAACTGACAAAAGTGAAGCATCACCTATGCAAATAATTCAAAGGGTGAAGCCTGGACTAACACATTTGCTGATAAGAGTGATGCTTTGCCTTTGTTTTTTGTAAAGCACATGAAGTGATGGTGAAACCCTGAGGTTACAAATAATTGGCTCAGGTGAAGAAAGGTGATGACCTGAGGAGGGTGGGTCCAGGCCACAGAGTGACCCTTGCATAAGGATGTTCAATTCTTAGTTGCTTTATATTTACTATTGCATTCATTGTAAAGTGTGTGGATAAAAATACATTCAAACTTCTGAAGCTATGACATCCTTGTACACCATTCTTCTTGTATTCCATGTTTAGGAAGTCAGCAAGCGTTACCCGGGTGACTTTGATCGCATGCGCCGGATGTCAATCGTTGAGGAAGGCGATCATAAGCGTATCAATATGGCTCATCTCTCCATCGTAGGTGCTCATGCTGTGAACGGTGTTGCAGCTATCCACACCGGTCTCATCAAGTCTAGTGTGTAAGTAGACATCATATAGACAGAGATTAAGAACTTTGAAGTCAAAGATTTGGCAATTTTTATATTTCACACTTCATTTTTTTGACCTGTTGCTAATGTAGGATTCAGAATAAAAACTACCAGAATATACGTATGTCAAATTGTCAATGCTTACTTTTATACTGCACAGTTGCTTTGGTCCTCCAACATGACTCGTCTGCTCTAAGGCCACACATCACTGCATTTGGACCAAAGTTAAACAAAGTCCTGCCATGAAGTCTGTTCATAACTGTATATAACTCCAGTAGCTGCTTCTCCCAGAATGCCTTTAGAGACTGATCCTACAATATGCAGCTAGCTTGTGGCAGCGTGAAATATTGCCCATTCTTTTTGGCTGTGGCCATTATTCACCAACATCAATGTTGTCTTGTCCACTCTCCTCATCCTTAACTTTGTTTGTGGTATGATGTTGACAGGTTCCGTGACTTCTATGACATGTACCCTGAGAAGTTCCAGAACAAGACCAATGGGATCACCCCTCGTCGCTGGCTGCTTCTTTGCAACCCTGGTCTCTCTGATGCCATTGCTGATGTGAGTCATTGCTTGTTTTTTAAGATCAAGTTGTTGTAAGAATTTGCTTATGTCAAATAAGGAAATTAACAACCTATTAGTTAGATAACTAAATGTTTTTTAATATTTTAAATTGCATATTGATCATTTGATGTAGGTAGAAATCACCAAACTGGAGAGGAAAACTATTTTTTAGCCAATTTGTGAAATAACAGACAAAGGTGGATTGTATTCTGACATTTCAAGGGAGAAAATGAAAGAGGGACATATGAATTGAACAACTGACAATATATGCATAGATGAAATTGTTAAACTGACTATGGTTTGAAAGGGTTTTGGAGAGCAAGAAATGGCACCAGTTTGAAATGCCTTACATTGGGCAGATTGCAGCTATTCAGAATAATGATAATGACAATCGGACATACAATCCACATCAAAGTAGTTGGTATAACTAGTACTGTCTCATCTGAAAGTGGTTTCTGATCTTCTTAACAGAAAATTGGTGAGGAGTGGACTACAGACCTGTCCCAGCTGAGGAAGCTAGAGCAACATGTCTCTGATAAAGCTTTCATCATGTCAATTCAACAGGTCAAGCAGGTAGGTAAAACTCCATTTACACTATACAAAAATGATACAAATGATCATAAATTATACAAGTAAGTGATGGGTAATTGTTGATTACTGAATAATAGTGAAGAAAGAGAGAGGTCAAGGATTGCAGGCATTTTATGTGGCATTTATTGAGTTTGTAGATGAACTCTTCGAAGAGGTGTGATCGATGTAAAATGGACAAGAGAAAGACCTGTACAGTAATGATAATAAGATACAGGTATGATAGAACTTTAAGGTCATGTTCTTGTATGGTAAATTTGGGTAGATCTGGAAACTTTTCACACCGAAATTATATGGAGGAGACTTTATATGATGATACAGAAAGTGATCCATGCTACTCTCCATCAGTGTTGACCCCGAATGATTACGCTCATCTAGAGATGTTAGATGTGTGCATGAGTGAGTACTTTGTTAGCAGAATGGAATCTGCACTAACATCAACACTATTTAATTTATATTCATGTATTGTTTTTTGTAGGAGAACAAGATGAAGCTAGCTCAGTATCTTGAGAAGCAGAATGGAGTTCACATCAACGTCAACTCCATGTTTGACATCCAAGTCAAGAGAATCCATGAGTACAAACGGCAGCTGCTCAATGCTCTTCATATGATCTGTCTCTACAACAGTGAGTCTTCTTTTTCTAACTCTGATTACATTTTATTTATATACAATTTGCCCGTTTCAATGTGTTTGACCAAAGTTTTCTAAAAATGTTACGTAAGGGGTAACCTTTAGGCTGACAAGCCAAAAAAAAGGGGGGTTGAGCCAAATGATATGGGCTAACACGACCCCATAAAAACACCAAAAAAAGAGAAAAGCTTCATGTCAATTATAGGTGAATGTTGAGTACTTGCCAATTTAAAACAACACAACTTCTTTTCCTTTATCATCTTCTCGTCTCATCGTCACTTTTAAGCTTCATAAAAGCAATACATTTTCCTAGGGATCATTATCTTTTTTTCAAAGAGAACTTGAAAACCAAAATGTACATGTGTGCTGGTTTTCATATATGGGGTAACTTACAGGCTACTTTTCAAACTGTAATATTTTTGTTTTTGCAACTATGTGTCTATTGAATGTGTGCTTTTGTCATCTGTAGAGATATATTTTTAATTATTTATTTTCATTAACAGGAATCAAGAAGGATCCGAGTGCCCCTTTCGTCCCACGTACAATAATGATTGGTGGCAAGGCTGCACCTGGGTACCACACGGCCAAACAGATCATCCATCTCATCAACAGTATTGCTAGGGTGGTCAACAGTGACCCCATTGTCGGTGACAAACTCAAGGTCATCTTCTTGGAGAACTACAGGGTTTCTCTTGCAGAGAAAGGTGAGTGACACAAGATTGCCCTAAGGTTATCATCATCATCATCATCATCATCATCATCATCATCATCATCATCATCATCATCATCATCATCATCATCATTCATCATCATCATGCATCTTCTTTATCAGTTTCATTATCAATCTTGAAATTACCAAGATTTTGTATCGTGCATTTACCTCATCTCTGAATGGGACCTTTTTAAACCATACATGTATATATATATGTGATGCTCTTATCTTTGATATAGTGATCCCAGCTTGTGATCTGTCTGAGCAGATCTCACTAGCAGGCACTGAGGCTTCGGGTACGGGCAATATGAAGTTCATGGTGAGTAGAAATGTTATACTTAGACCAGGAAACCTTGAAGGCTTCGCAGGAATTATATATCTTTTTTCTTATACAGCATTAAACTTTTGTAATTTGGATGCATGTATACATATTTAATATTCAATTATACAAATCTAATGCAGTTTTCATAGTGTTCAGAGAAAGCAAGATTTGACTATCTTTCTATTTGACTATGTCCTTTCATTTGAGGGGGGAGGGGGCATGGGAAGTTTAGTAGAGGTTCAAGTCAGTTGTTAGAGTGGATTACTAAACATGTTTTGTGGCTATTATGGAAAGAAGAATTGAATCTCTGTTTATGTCATAATGTAAATGGAGCTCTGTTGTATTAGGAATACATTTGATTTTTGTCATTGTAGTTAAATGGAGGTCTGACTATCGGCACTCTAGATGGAGCCAACGTTGAGATGAGAGAGGAGATGGGAGATGAGAACATCTTCATCTTTGGTATGACAGTGGAAGAGGTACAAGCAAGAAAAGATGGGTGAGTAACTTTATATTTCTTCCTTACCGGGGACCAATCACCCCAAAATACTATGCTCAGAATGCTTTTGGTCCCATGACTTTTGTAACATTTGTTACTCATTAATTTGAAAATATCAATATGAAGCACTTGACATATATATTTCAGTTATGCGAAACCTTCATACAAGAAGAGCAACAAATTACTTATGCAGTTTGCCCACTGCAATTATAGTACAAAAACTAAAAGCGAGAGAATTTGATAAACTACTTTGCATAATATATCACACTATCGAGAAAATGGCGATGCCCATGTCATGCCGAGAAAATGTACATTGTGCTAAGAATATCTTGCTTTGCATGTCTCTCATACACTTTGGTAGGAAATCTGTAGATTAATGGACAAGAATAAAACGAATCTCTAAGAAAAAATTAAGTTATTTCTTTGGTTAAGGTTTTCTTTATAAATTTCTAATCATATGGGACAAAACAGATATGGCATCAAAAATTTGTCCGAAGCTGTGAACCATTTCTAGTAATATTTGGAATATGAGGGCATTTTGATATCAATCTCTTTCATGTGATATTGCCACCACAATACCCTTTTTTATTGAAAAATCACAAATTAATTTTTTCCTCTACCAAAACACAACTATCTTTTTGCTTTAGTCAAAAGTTTTTTCAAGATTACCTGCCTGTATTGAAGTCATCTTTACTTGATGTATTTTTCTCTTCTTCTCTTTGTAGCTATAATCCGCGTGAATTCTATGAGAAGAATGCTGAGCTGAAGCAAGCTATTGATCAGATCCAGGGAGGCTTCTTCTCACCTAATGATCCTGGTGCTTTCCATGATATCGTCAACTCACTTCTAAATCATGATACGTAAGATGGCATCCTTCATTATCATTCTGGATTTTCCAAAAATAATTGTGTTTTGGAAATATCTTATAAATTTTATAATCTAAAATATCCCATAATTTACTAATGATAATAGTCACATTTGATATTTGGGATGGTAAATACCATATAAAAAAACAGATATCCTCATATTATTTTTGTATTATTGCCAAAGCTTTAAATATTGACTCATGAATAAACATGAATTCTTTGAATGGGTTCTGTGAGCAAGAAATCATTTAAGTATATACCGTATTTCTCACCCTAACTCTGTATGTAGTCCAATTGAAAGACTTATACTTATCATATTTGTAGTCCCCATGTTTTTTTAAAATTGTAGCCCCTGGCCAGTAAAAGATGTGTTGGGTCTCAATGCTATTTTCTGTTTCATCTTTATCAGGTACATGCTTCTAGCTGATTTTGAGTCCTACCTCGCAGCACAGAGCCGTGTCAGTGAGCTCTTCACTGTAAGTACCCTCAACTTATATCATAAATTAATTACTAGCATTTAAATTTGAGGTACCGGTATTTTCATTGTTTCATTGTGAAATTAGATATAACAGCGCTTTAGTGGGAATAAACATGGTAATGCAAGTACAGTGTACTAGTTTCTGTTTTATGAGCAAAGAAGTGGGTCTTAATGGGTGTCATGAGTTCGATGAGCCCTTGAAACCCATCAGGAATGGGTTTTCCTGAGCAAAGATATTTGTCTTAGCCCAAAATAGTCCAAATAAAGTCCAAATAAAGTTTAAAAGTACTACATTTGAATTTCAGGATCTACAAAAGTGGACTCATCAGTGATTCCTGTGAAACCCTGCATGAAATATTAATAAATACATGATGATTCATACATTTCGTCCTTGTTTTCACGAAGCGACGGTAGTGAGGAAAATCGTAACGCAAAGTGAATGCAATTTTTTTTTCACTACCGTCACTTCGTGAAAACAGCGACGATTTGTACTATGTCCATCCAGTTCTGAGCTACACCCCAAATACCAATATTCCAAATGAAAGCTTAGAGTTAGACAGAATATGGTTATGATTTATAGAACTGAATACTTTCTGTATTATCATTTAGAATGGCAATTCTTCACTTATTTCTTTGAAATGCATCTATTGAAACCAGGAGAGAGAGTTATGGTATTCCATTTCATTTGCATTCACAGAAACCCAGGGAATGGACAATGAAGTGCATACACAACATCGCATCTTCTGGTAAGTTCTCCAGCGACCGTACCATCGGGGAGTACGCTAAAGACATCTGGGACGTCCAACCCAACCCAGTCAAGCTTCCCGACCCTCATGAGGAGCCAGTAAGGAAGGCTTAACCAGGAGGGTCCTAAAGCTGGCCAGCCTATAGGCTTCTTGGTTGTATAGTATAGAATCAAATCTAATGCAGTATAAAAACCACCTGAGTGTAGTTGATATCTTGCAAGCACCGTGTTATTGCATTCATAGTGATCACTGATATAAACAATTATTGAATTGTGTGCAAATTGGCACTTCCCTTGTGTGCAAAATTGATCATTGTTGGATATATTCTTATTGTTGTGCTTAAAACCATGCAAGCAATATATATCTATATTCATTGTTAGTTGAATGTGAACTGCCAAACCTATCAGTGTCTATATTTATAATCAATAACCAATTCAAATCTAGATACATGTTTTCTGTAGGATATCAAAATGATTTAAACTTGATACCACATAGTGGTGAGTAACATCATATTGAATTGAAAACAATGTTCTGTTGAGTTTAGGAATTTATCAATAGAATATAATTTAGGATGATCTATTACATTATACAGCACTGCACATATTTTATAGTACCTTTTGGGACCATGGCAGATGCTTTTAAAAGTTTTGTTGAAGTACTAAAGTGGATAGAAAATGGGATATTGTCTGTTGGAGAAATCTCACATTAATCAGTTTTGATACTTAAAGTTTATTTACTTTGGTTCTGTATAATTATAGTAACCAAAATGTTTAATGTGTGGGGGAGAAAAAACCTATTGCAGTGAACATATATGAGATGAAAACCAAATATATACACACGCATCTTGTTTTTAGAAAACAACAATAAAGGTGTGTAGATTATTTTTTGATCAAGATTTAGTCTGTGTCTAATCTATCAGAGTGTGCAAAGAGGATTCATATTTCTGTAACCCTTTTGAGGTATGTTAAACATAGAGTTAGGAGGAAGAGAATCCAAAGTCTAGTTTATTTGCTGCATGGTGTTATAGCCAGTAAAAACTCTCTACCAATTCCTTCCTCACAAAAGTATATAAGAATATGATCATACTTAAAAAGAAATGGTGTATTTTTAAACCTTCTTACCCATACTAGTGGCATGACAGTGTGACGTGACATACAGTGGCCATCTCCTAAAGAGAGTCACCTACCCTTAAACGAAAGAACCTATCATCTTTTATGATGCCCATATATATTTGACATGGTACATGTACATGAAGTTTCTATGTAATAGTTACGCAATGTGATCAATGTTGTCTTTGTTCTATTGTAGTTTTAAACCCCTAGGGTTCTTGAATTTCAATGTAGAAATGAGGCTATTTTTACTATTTTGGGGGTGTATTTTTGATAGAATGTTCGCACTTGGCTTGGCTACCAGGTGGCAAGTCCAAGGTATTCATTTTGTGTCCTTTATGTTTAGAAGATGAACAAAGATAACTCATTGTTTTACTTGATACTTCATCGGATCCAAGGACTACCATTCTCATACAATTATCATGTATACTAAAATTGGTGATGTGAATGGAAACGTTTAGGACCAGTACCTCGGACTCACTCTGATACTTAACCACAATGATTCCCTTGGTAGTACCGAAGTGAACTCTTTCTATATCATGGCTGGTTAATTAGTTGATCTTATTACATTATGCTATACATTGAATGCTGTGCTGATTGTTACTGAGTATCAATTGAAGCTACATTTACTCAAAGATATTGCTATTTTAGTTCTGGCAGTGATACCCTCCATTTCAAAGCTATCTAAGGATCCAATACCAAGTCCTGTATGAATTTAAGGGTTATATTCTTGGTCTACCTATAAGCCGACCTGAGTTTTACCCAAGTTTTTGTTTGTTTTTGTTTGTGGTACTGTTGAGCATCAGTTTGGACTTAGATGTCTAGATCATCTAACTCACAGACAGAATGCAGTTAAGGCCCATAAGTGAAGACTTTTGGATTTTAATTCAAAGCATTTAAACAAAAATGCCCGTTAAAAAGATGTAGCCTATTACTATTTTTTTTATTTTGTTCACTTGAAAGAAGTTCATGTATTGAATGGCAAATATTTTTTTTAGACTATACATAGACATTAACTAGTGACTGAAATTTGGTTTCTTTTATTTCTATTTCGTGCTGTAACAGCCCATTGACATGTGCTTCCAGTTATATTTTGCTACAGAGAAAATCATCTCACTCAATAATACTGAATATTCCTCAATTTTCATTGGTTTTCAAGAATACAGATTCAGATGTATAGAGCAGTTTTGGAATGATCTTGTGATCCTCTTATTGTGTTTTTGAAACATGTTGAGCGCTGAAATCATTAAGAAATTGTAATTCTTTTGTTTCAATCCATAATAGATTCTGTATTATGTATCAGAGTAAAGTTCCCTTGTATGTGATAAGGGTAATTGTTGTGTATTGGTGCATCATATTGAAGTGAGATACAATTACTATCGAGATTGAAAGATCATATTTATGTAAATTACAGTGTTGTTATGACTGTTTGCTGATAAAGTACCTTGATGCTGAATGGAATTATGCAAAATGATTTCAGCTCCTATATATTACCAAGAGAGTTTTAAGATCCATAGAGCAATGCGAAAGAATTGTCTTGTTCCGTTTCAGATTTTGTATTGAATGTAAATGTTGGCCTATGTCAATTGCATAGCAATCCATAGCGATAATAATTTAATTTTCTGAGGTATTATAACTTCATAAATCATATTTTCTATGTTCAGCTTTTTGTTGCATGCAGTTTGGTGATCAAATTTTCATTGTGTATTGATATTTGATATATCCTCTATTACTTCATTATAGTTGTTGAAAATCCACATGGTAGAATTTTCTGTTAAATAATTTGTACTTCTTCCATCTATATAATTTGTATTTTCTTTTTCATGACAACATAAAATGGCAGTTTTCACCGAGATTTGCAATGCAGTTGGAGTGAAATCAGGTACCATGACATATCTTTGGTCTGATAAAAAACCTTAATGAATTTTTTTTTTTACTACTATTATACAGTAGGCTAACGGTTGCAACATGTGAGAGAGTGGATTGGGGAGTCCTGAAAAGGACTGTCGGTAATCTTTCTTGTCTTGAGTGTGTGTGTGTAGTCCTGAAACTACTATTACTACTATTACTCTTGTTTCTTCATGAGTGAAATGTCTTCATTTCATCCATGATTAAAAAAGAAAAAACTTAGACTTTTCATTTGGTAACATCTCATTTGATTTTGTTACTGATAGAGCTTTCCTATTGAAACTTATCAATCATTGGAGTATTGAAATAGTTAATTGCAATGGATACTATTATCTATATATAGTAGTGTATCACTTTGATGAATATATGTTTCTTGTAATATCTTATTTGTTTGAATATGAAGACGTTTGATTTTTGTTTATTGACTGTTATGGTGCATTAATAGCAAAAATCGATCAATGTATTTGGACATGTCATCTGCTAGTAGTTATCTTCCACCACAGAATGTCATCATAGAGAATATCAATAGTTTAAGGGACAATTCAGACCAATACTTATTCCTGGAATGAAAAGTCAGCAAACAGATTTAACAATTGTGAGGGTATAACAATCTTTCTGTGTCAGATTGTTAAATTTTGGTTGTAGGTTAAATACTATATTACTTCCTGAAAGGTTTGTTTGAATGAGAAATTCAAACTTGTTTTTTTAAGTTTAGCATTCATCAAATTAGGGAATGATTTAGCTGTGTAAAGAGAATGAAAAGCCAACTGTGGGTAAACTGGGCAGTCATGTATCTAATGTAGGATAACAATCCCATCCATGGGAGAACTTGGATTCTGTGGAGCAATCTTTGGCCCATATCCCACTTAAATTTAAACCCGACTTGTGTCCATAATCTGGTTTTACAAAAGGTTTTACAAAAGGTTTTACAGAGGTCTAAGGTTCCCCATTAAGATTGATCATAGACTATGGGTTGGGTTTAACTTGATTAGTATAATACATACCTTGCATGTTTGCAGTTCAGTGATAAATGTACAACTTGTTGACATAAATACTTGAACTATATAGAGAAAAATTTGATACAGTTGTGGAATGATGATATAGCTATATAATTTTCAAAGGATGAAGCATGAAGTGGATTAGATTCTGATTATATTTTGGTATGCTTGTGTGTTTTACAGTACTGCTTGTGAACCCATTGGTAGATTCAAAATAGAAAAAAAAGAAACACTTTTTAATTCAATACTACTTCTGGATTGCAGTCAACGTTTATGGTAGGATTTCAATATGATTTGTTGACTAAATACCAATAAATTCAATAACTTCCTAGCAAAAGTAGAAACCTGTGGTTTCATTTACATGTAATAAGTGTGCATTATATTTAGTTTAAGATCATCCCTATCCAACCCCCTTGCTCATACTATCTTGTTATATCAGGCAAATATCCACACATTTTACATACATGGACATCTGGCATGTTTTTCAGTCATCAATACATAGGCAAACAGGTATGGCAGCGCTCTTACTATGGACTTTTAGATTTGCACGACGAGAATTTGGACTGCTACACGAGACAAGTTTTTAAGGCAATGTGACGTCCTTTTAAGGCACTGGCAGTGCCTTAAAAGGAAGTCACATGTAGCAGTCCACGTTCTCGTCATGCAAATCTAAAAGTCCCTGTTCTCATTCTCTTCTCTCTCTCCCCCCCCCCCCCCTGTCACACATAAGCATGTTATGTCAAGTAGTATGCATAACATTTGAATACACCTGGCAACCATATGATTCAAGAGCAACTGTTGTTCAAGAAGTATGCATAAAATAGAATACATTAGTAAACGGGTATGGCAGCCCTCTTTCTCTCTCTTTCTCTCTCTATCCAATAGCGTGTGTCCAAAAAGTGACGATTTTCGAATTTACCCCAAATTTGCCTGTACACCCTTTTTGGGATCAAACGGGGTTCCATACGATTCTGAGACACTTTGGGACATTCACGATGAGGAAACAAAGAAGATTGAAAATATTCATTTTTTGGCAAAAATGATGAGCTAACCCCTTGCCATTTTTCTCAAAAAGTGACGATTTTCGAATTTCCCCCAAATTTGCCTTAACAACCTTTTTGGGATCAAACGGGGATCCATACAATTCTGAGACACTTTGGGACATTCCAGATGAGGAAACAAAGAAGATTGAAAATATTCATTTTTTGGCAAAAATGATGAGCTAACCCCTTGCCATTTTTGTCAAAAAGTGACGATTTTCGAATTTTCCCCCAATTTGCCTTAACGCCCTTTTTTGGATCAAATGGAGATCCATACAATTCTGAGACACTTTGGGACATTCCAGGTGAGGAAACAAAGAAGATTGAAAATATTCATTTTTTGGCAAAAATGATGAGCTAACCCCTTGCCATTTTTTTCAAAAAGTGACGATTTTCGAATTTCCCCCAAATTTGCCTTAACGCCCTTTTTGGGATCAAACGGGGTTCCATACGATTCTGAGACACTTTGGCACATTCCAGATGAGGAAACAAAGAAGATTGAAAATATTCATTTTTTGGCAAAAATGATGCCATTTTTGTCAAAAAGTGACGATTTTCGAATTTCCCCCATATTTGCCTTAACACCCTTTTTGTGATCAAACGGGGTTCCATACGATTCTGAGACACTTTGGGACATTCACGATGAGGAAACAAAGAAGATTGAAAATATTCATTTTTTGGCAAAAATGATGAGCTAACCCCTTGCCATTTTTCTCAAAAAGTGACGATTTTCGAATTTCCCCCAAATTTGCCTTAACAACCTTTTTGGGATCAAACGGGATCCATACAATTCTGAGACACTTTGGGACATTCCAGATGAGGAAATAAAGAAGATTGAAAATATTCAATTTTTGGCAAAAACGATGAGCTAACCCCTAGCCATTTTTGTCAAAAAGTGACGATTTTCGAATTTCCCCTGAAATTGCCTTAACGCCCTTTTTTGGATCAAATGGAGAGCCATACAATTCTGAGACACTTTGGGACATTCACGATGAGGAAACAAAGAAGATTGAAAATATTCATTTTTTGGCAAAAATGATGAGCTAACCCCTTGCCATTTTTCTCAAAAAGTGACGATTTTCGAATTTCCCCCAAATTTGCCTTAACAACCTTTTTTGGGATCAAACGGGGATCCATACAATTCTGAGACACTTTGCGACATTCCAGATGAGGAAACAAAGAAGATTGAAAATATTCATTTTTTGGCAAAAATGATGAGCTAACCCCTTGCCATTTTTGTCAAAAAGTGACGATTTTCGAATTTTCCCCAAATTTGCCTTAACAACCTTTTTGGGATCAAACGGGGATCCATACAATTCTGAGACACTTTGGCACATTCCAGATGAGGAAACAAAGAAGATTTAAAATATTTATTTTTTGGCAAAAATGATGCCATTTTTGTCAATAAGTGGCGATTTTCGAATTTCCCCCAAATTTGCCTTAACACCCTTTTTTTGATCAAACGGGGTTCCGTACGATTCTGAGACACTTTGGCACATTCCAGATGAGGAAACAAAGAAGATTTAAAATATTTATTTTTTGGCAAAAATGATGCCATTTTTGTCAAAAAGTGACGATTTTCGAATTTCCCCCAAATTTGCCTTAACAACCTTTTTGGGATCAAACGGGGATCCATACAATTCTGAGACACTTTGGGACATTCCAGATGAAGAAATAAAGAAGATTGAAAATATTCAATTTTTGGCAAAAATGATGAGCTAACCCCTTGCCATTTTTCTCAAAAAGTTACGATTTTCGAATTTCCCCCAGATTTGCCATAACAACCTTTTTGGGATCAAACGGGGATCCATACAATTCTGAGACACTTTGGAACATTCCAGATGAGGAAACAAAGAAGATTGAAAATATTCATTTTTTGGCAAAAATGATGAGCTAACCCCTTGCCATTTTTCTCAAAAAGTGACGATTTTCGAATTTCCCCCAAATTTGCCTTAACGCCCTTTTTGGGATCAAACGGGGTTCCATACGATTCTGAGACACTTTGGGACATTCCAGATGAGGAAACAAAGAAGTTTTAAAATATTTGGTTTTTGGCAAAAATGATGCCATTTTTGTCAAAAAGTGACGATTTTCGAATTTCCCCCATATTTGCCTTAACACCCTTTTTGGGATCAAACGGGGTTCCATACGATTCTGAGACACTTTGGGACATTCACGATGAGGAAACAAAGAAGATTGAAAATATTCATTTTTTGGCAAAAATGATGAGCTAACCCCTTGCCATTTTTCTCAAAAAGTGACGATTTTCGAATTTCCCCCAAAATTGCCTTAACGCCCTTTTTTGGATCAAATGGAGATCCATACAATTCTGAGACACTTTGGGACATTCACGATGAGGAAACAAAGAAGATTGAAAATATTCATTTTTTTGGCAAAAATGATGAGCTAACCCCTTGCCATTTTTTTCAAAAAGTGACGATTTTCGAATTTCCCCCAAATTTGCCTTAACGCCCTTTTTGGGATCAAACGGGGTTCCATACGATTCTGAGACACTTTGGCACATTCCAGATGAGGAAACAAAGAAGATTGAAAATATTCATTTTTTGGCAAAAATGATGCCATTTTTGTCAAAAAGTGACGATTTTCGAATTTCCCCCATATTTGCCTTAACACCCTTTTGGTGATCAAACGGGGTTCCATACGATTCTGAGACACTTTGGGACATTCACGATGAGGAAACAAAGAAGATTGAAAATATTCATTTTTTGGCAAAAATGATGAGCTAACCCCTTGCCATTTTTGTCAAAAAGTGACGATTTTCGAATTTCCCCCATATTTGCCTTAACAACCTTTTTGGGATCAAACGGGGATCCATACAATTCTGAGACACTTTGCGACATTCCAGATGAGGAAACAAAGAAGATTGAAAATATTTATTTTTTGGCAAAAATGATGCCATTTTTGTCAATAAGTGGCGATTTTCGAATTTCCCCCAAATTTGCCTTAACACCCTTTTTTTTGATCAAACGGGGTTCCGTACGATTCTGAGACACTTTGGCAGATTCCAGATGAGGAAATAAAGAAGATTGAAAATATTCATTTTTTGGCAAAAACGATGAGCTAACCACTTGCCATTTTTGTCAAAAAGTGACGATTTTCGAATTTCCCCTAAATTTGCCTTAACGCCCTTTTTTTAATCAAACGGGGTTCCATACAATTCTGAGACACTTTGGGACATTCCAGATGAGGAAACAAAGAAGATTGAAAATATTCATTTTTTGGCAAAAATGATGAGCTAACCCCTTGCCATTTTTCTCAAAAAGTGACGATTTGCGAATTTCCCCCAGATTTGCCATAACAACCTTTTTGGGATCAAACGGGGATCCATACAATTCTGAGACACTTTGGGACATTCCAGATGAGGAAACAAAGAAGATTGAAAATATTCATTTTTTGGCAAAAATGATGAGCTAACCCCTTGCCATTTTTCTCAAAAAGTGACGATTTTCGAATTTCCCCCAAATTTGCCTTAACGCCCTTTTTGGGATCAAACGGGGTTCCATACGATTCTGAGACACTTTGGGACATTCCAGATGAGGAAACAAAGAAGTTTTAAAATATTTGGTTTTTGGCAAAAATGATACCATTTTTGTCAAAAAGTGACGATTTTCGAATTTCCCCCATATTTGCCTTAACACCCTTTTTGGGATCAAACGGGGTTCCATACGATTCTGAGACACTTTGGGACATTCACGATGAGGAAACAAAGAAGATTGAAAATATTCATTTTTTGGCAAAAATGATGAGCTAACCCCTTGCCATTTTTCTCAAAAAGTGACGATTTTCGAATTTCCCCCAAAATTGCCTTAACAACCTTTTTGGGATCAAACGGGGATCCATACAATTCTGAGACACTTTGGGACATTCCAGATGAGGAAACAAAGAAGATTGAAAATATTCATTTTTTGGCAAAAATGATGAGCTAACCCCTTGCCATTTTTGTCAAAAAGTGACAATTTTCGAATTTCCCCCAAATTTGCCTTAACGCCCTTTTTTGGATCAAATGGAGATCTATACAATTCTGAGACACTTTGGGACATTCACGATGAGGAAACAAAGAAGATTGAAAATATTCATTTTTTGGCAAAAATGATGAGCTAACCCCTTGCCATTTTTCTCAAAAAGTGACGATTTGCGAATTTCCCCCAGATTTGCCATAACAACCTTTTTGGGATCAAACGGGGATCCATACAATTCTGAGACACTTTGGGACATTCCAGATGAGGAAACAAAGAAGATTGAAAATATTCATTTTTTGGCAAAAATGATGAGCTAA